GGGATTGACCAAAAAAAAAAAACAACCAGCAGCTTAGGAAACTTTGCAAGGGGAGACCCAGTTCTTCTTGTGACTTCCTACACGTGTTTGTGCATTCACATGGCATTCTCTAAAGAAAAATTTGACCCGGAGCTTGTGCCCTAGTTTCCTGTGCCCCTGCCAAGGCCGTATCTGTCCTGTATATATGCTTTTTCTGCAGTATTTATGCAGCTGAGTCCAAGAGGAGAGAAATAAAAGTTCACCCTATTCACCTGTTATTCAAAAGGACACTGACCTCCCAGTCAGATAAAGGATTGCCATGGTTCTGTCTAGTGCCCTTGAAAATTGTTTGAGGAAAATAAAGATCAAAACCTTGTATTTTGCTGGAACTGTTCTAAAAATAATGACTTTTATGTTTTTTTCCCCTGCCCTCAGCTTGAAGTCATTATCTCCCTGTCTGTTCTCAGAGGGTGGTCTTCCTCAAACCATGGGGGCAAGCCAGTCTTCACTGTCCAGAGGCATCTCCCACTTCCACCAATGCCTCTTGGAAACATCTGTTAAGAAATAAACCTGGGGAAGTGAGAATCGATCAAACCACCCGGAAGGGCGACGGAGCTTCACTGCCTGCATTCACGCAGCTGTACCTTCAGCAACTGTAGTCAAACCTTGTTTGGGCACTCTAGTGCTTGCTGAAGGCAACCTTCTTTACCCAAGCTAACTAACGAAGCAGTAATAGAGAATGTTAGCAGAGATCTAGCTACACTGTGCAAACTCCCTGAAAAAGATGTTCCTAGCCCATGCAAAATGGCCCACTGTGCTGTGAAATAGCAGTGAGTAGTTCACAGAAATACAACGAGTCCGTGTACAGAAGCAACGTGCTGGATGGCTACTCATGTGTTTCCCCTAGCCAAGCTTTAGAGAGAGGCCAGGGCCACTGTCCTCTCCCCAGATCACAGTGTATGGTGACAACAACCAAATCCAGTATGCTGGGACGTCCCAGCACATAGGCTTCCTTTCAAAAAATGTAGGCTGTGAAGAGGTACAGTCCTTTGGCTTAAGGGATGCGGCCTTCCGTGCTTGTTGGGACCAGGCTTCTCCTGTTCCTCAGTACAACAAGCAGAGGAGAGCTCAGCTCCCATGCGCTGCACTCAGAATTCTGATGATCTCAAGATGGATGAGGTTTAGGGAAAAGGTAAACACATGCACTTTCACTCCAAACAAACAGCAGCTATGACCTGGTCAAAGATTAAACTGCAAATGAAGCTGGTAGGAAATTTTCCTCTTATCTTAATGTCAATATATTCATAAACATTTACAAGAGTGCAGGATGAGAGAATGGGCTTTTAATTTCTGCTGTGCCATAGTCAGTGTTCAGCCATGTGCTCTCTACCTATACTGGTACTTGGCAACAAATAGTGAAGTATAATTGCTGCTGCATTACATTATGATGTGCCAGACTGAGCAGCCTAGAAAGCATACACCCAAAGCACAAAACACCCCACAGAGGGTGACATTCCTGCTTTCCCAACAAGAAGAACTGACAAAGAACCCTTGAAACAAGAGCCTCTGAGCACTGGATGTATTTTCTGTACGTTTTCTATCAAGGCAAAAACAATGAATATCAAACACAGACAGTTCTAAACTGGAAAATGAGTAAGCAGTACAAGGAGCTGAAATAGACAACATGGTAGACTTCCTCAAGGAAAAACAAGCATTTCCGCAGCAGAACACACCGGTTTTGTCTGTGGGGGATGAGCAAAGGACTGTGCTAGTTAACCCACGAATTTCTTAGCTGCAGGGCTGACATTCATCATCCTCAAAGCAGCTGATACTGGCTGTGACAGGTGGATGCTGCTCAAATCCAGTTCACTAATTCTGATGTACCTGATTGCAGCGTTTTATTTCCCCTGTAACTTTAGAAATATGTAGGAAGTTCTATGAGATTTTAGCAGCAAGTCCCTTCCTTCAAACAGGGCTCAAAGCAAACTGAAAGATCAGCTCAAGTAATACTTCCAAAATAAGTTTCTTAGGGCCCAATTTCCCTCTCACGACAGCACTACCTGCAGCAGTGTTGACTGCTAGGTGTGAAAGTTAAAGTCCATTGGAACTGCTCTGCATAAACCTGGGCAAACCGGTATCTTTTCCAGAGAAAATCTTATCACTTAGTCACAGTATAACAGTAATGCATTAAAGTATAACAAAAATATTTCATAGGTCAAGGCTTCCCGTCTGTAACTGTCACCTAAACTAGTTTAAGGAGGCTGGAACATGAAAGGAGCTGCCCTCTGCTGTAAGATAGCACATGTAATCTGGAGTCACGTTGGATGTGAAATATTTTCTATGAACTCTGAATTGGCACAGTGAATTTGCAGTAAAAAGGCAGGATGACTGCACAAGAATAAAGCTATTCAGTAATGAATGTATTTGTGTCAGAAATGCCTGGTGCTCTGTGCAATTCCACATTTACATGTTGTCCATTTTCACTCACAGCAGAGCTCAAAACTGAGCATAGGTCAATGAAAAGGAATAATGCAGTGCTGCTGTGGTGAGAATTATCCGTTCAGCATCGAGCAGAATAAGAGCCATGATGCCCTGAAAATCTCATTTAAATCATTTTGTTAGGAATGTCAACAAAGGTGTTCTCCCAGCTCTTCCTCCAAAGCTATTTCACTAAAATTTGCTGTTCCTGCTTCACATGCAGTTTTTTGCTCTTGGTCTGCTTTTTATGGGTCTTGCCTTTATAAACCAAACAGCTATTTCTAGGCTAGTGACGAGAGGCTCCAGATTAGTCCTACACCCTTACCAACAATCATCACACAGAAGGAACATATTTATGAATCACTCGCATTTTCGGCAGCTGTCAGACTGACTGCAGCATGCCCCAATTTTTCTGCTTGTCTATAGAGAAACTGCAGGCACGAGAAGGAGGACATACTACTGATTCTCAGAAGTCAGTACTTGTCTGGATTGAAAATGATAAATTGCAATCGTCGAGTAAAACCTCCACCAAAAGAGCTTGATGACTGCACGGGTATCCAACCTTTGGAATACCTGGGCCACACTGAATGCAGAGTTGTTGTCTTGGGCTGCATATAAAATATATAATAAACACAAATAAATAATAACACTTTTTTCCCTTTAAATTAAAACATAAAAAAAGAAGGCTACATGAACACAAAGCTAGTGGGATATTTGACGTTTTTGTTAAAATAATGCATCAGTCTGGTTTGATGGAAGTGGTTGCAATTCCTGGTGAGTTCTCAAGGTGCTCATTATTGATCAAATTTTTCTCTTTCTGTGCTTCATCCTTGAAAAGAGTTGTTCACAAATGTACATACTGCCCAAAAGTGATGGTGCAAATAAGGCTGGATTGTGAAACAAAGCATGTTTCTCTCTGGTAAGATTGGTCTTATGGAAGTCTAGTAGGGAGACATGGTCACATTTTTCTTTGAGTTGAATGTCTGATTGCAACTCTATACATTCCATTTGAAAATCTGCAAGCAATGTACTTATTTATAATATATTTACAATACACAAATTGTAAATATACTTACGTTTGTAATATATTGCCCTATTCTGACTTATTCCCAAGACATAAACTGTTCTGTACCTTCCATCAACCTCTAGACCTCTCCCTTTTTTCATATCCTGGCATGAGAGAAGGAGTGTAGCATAGAGTTCTCTATGCACAGATGAGCTATGGGGTTGTGCAGCAGCCTTCTGGTTTGGCTCCCATCCTTTTTTCTTTGCTGTTACCAAGCACTGAGCTGATGTTTTAACAGGGCTATCGCAGATGACCTCAGATTCAAGCTCAAGCTAGCTCTGGCTAAGCTTCCTCATCTGGACTTGTGCCATAGTGTGAGACAACATGCAGGAATTGGGCAAAAGCGTGAACTTATGTGATAATGCAGAAGCACTGCACAGTTTGTTTTTCAGACCAATGCAGTCACCCACGTGCCTGAAAAAAAGCTGACTGGAAAGCCTCGGAGACTTTCTGAATGCTTCTTGTTCACAAAGAAACTTCAGTAAAATTGAAGGGCTAGTGTGTGGGAGGAAATGTGTTCTCACTTTGTACATCAAGGAGGAAGGTGACCTTCAGTAAACACAGCAGAGAAGCACAGAGAGCTCATGTTGCACTCCATACCCTGGTCAGATCTCGATCTGCTCTTATTCTCTCACCTGGAAAGAAGTGTATACAAGAAGAGCTTACGCAAGGTCACTCCTGGGTTTGCATAAGAAATGGCTGCTTTTAAGCATATTTGAAAGAGATGGAGTACATACACAGCCAGTGGATGGACTGAACCTGAGCTTGCCTGAAAAAGACAGGATTTTAAGCAGCACCAAGGTAACATACATGATCTCCAAAGTACTTCCCACCATTATTACACATGGTAAACACTGCCAAGGATGTTGAGCATGGGAGAGCCAACTGTTAAATGTGTCTGCTTCAACAATGCAATTTAACACTGCACTTCGCATGCAGGCTCCCTGGGAAAGCAGCCTTTCCTAATGACCTTTCTTCTGAGTTTTACTTCTCCATTTCAGGCTAACAATGCCAACTAAGTCACTGTGGTACTATTTCACCTTCCATCTGTTGTCTCTTAGCAAACCTTCCCTCATGGTCTACATTATATCTGCATTCTTCTTCCCAGCTTCCCTACCTTTTTCTCATTCCTACAAAGCCCACTGAGCTACATCAAAAACCTTTACAGAATCACAGAATCACAGGGGTTGGAAGGGACCCCCAGAGATCATCGAGTCCAACCCCCTGCCAAAGCAGTTCCCTACACCAGGTCGCACAAGTTGGTGTCTGGAACATCTCCAGAGAAGGAGACGCCACCACCTCCCTGGGCAGCCTGTTCCAGTGCTCCGTCACCTCACTGAAGAAGTTCTTGCACACATTCGTGCAGAACTTCCCATGCTGCAGTTTCTGGCTGTTCCCCCTCGTCCTGTCTGCACACACTGCTGAAGGCAGTCCGACCTGGCCGCTCTGCCTCCCACACCTCAGATATTTACCAGATCAGGTCCCCTCTCAGTCTTTTTTTCTCAAGGCTGAACAGACCCAGCTCACTCAGCCTTTCCTCATAGCAGAGATGCTCCAGGCCCTTCACCATCTTTGTGGCCCTCTGCTGGACTCTTTCCAAGAGGTCCTTGTCTTTTTGTACTGGGGAGCCCAGAACTGGACGCAGTGCTCCAGATGAGGCCTCACCAGGGCAGAGTAGTTTCTGCTTGTGACCATGGAAAAAAAGTCAGAAAACATATTTATATAAACCTCTCAGTAACAAAAATGAGCCGTGTGTCACTTCTCAACTTGTGTTTGATGTCTTCGATAGCTGTAACACAAGCTTTAATTCCTAGATTTTTTTTGCCCAGTCCTTTGCAAAATCATGCAAAGGAACATGCTTTCTTTCTAAAAGGAATTTTCAAATTAAAATATTTTATACAATATTTTACATATTATATTCTATATAATTCAGCAAAACCTCTACTATTAGTGCATGAAAATGCCTGATGCTTTAACTGTCTGCAAATATCAAGTACAGCTATTTTAGAAAATTAAAAATTGCACTTAAGCAGCTCTGCAAAGTAACAAGAACTTTCACTATCAGTTTTGAAAGGTTACCCTGAATTTCTTTCCTTTTCTGTCTTAAGGATTTCAATTTGAATTCAGGTATAAGTGTGATTACAAAAGAACCCATGTCTGAGGGTAGGCATGTGATCATGTGCTTCTGCTGAGGAGTGGTTTTGCTGCAATGCTCAGTACAAAGAATATCCTCAAGTTCATTGCTGAATCAAAACTTTACATGTCAGGTCAAGTGTTGGAGTCTGTCAGAGTGTCACATAGGTTTGACTATCAGATGAATGCTTGTAAAAAAAACCTTTGGCACTGTGTGATAGGACAGTATAAGAACAACCTACGAGAACATGTTCCTCCATCTTTGTAGACCCCTTACTTTTCAGTTTCATGTCTCTCCAGGACATTGCGATTCTCTCCAGTAGCTTCTACTGAAAATTTGCATATTTTTTCCCTATGTGAGTATTTATTTCCTAACACACCTGTGGATAAGTAAATCGAGCAGTCTATTGGAGCAAATTGGTTCAACTTAGTGTTAAAACTATTTGCATGCTGCATTTATTCCAGAGGCATGTTTGTCCCACTGGTTCTGATCTTATCTTTACTCTGTACCAAGAAATGACTCCCATGAACTTTAGTAGGTCATCCTGTTAAACATCTATCCACTCTCTCCCACTCTTCCTAACCATCTAGAAATAATAATTAACTGATTGTGCTGGGAAGTGGGTGGTGACTTCACGATCCAACTCTTGCTATGTATTTCAGATGACTTATACATTGCTAGGGGTTTTTTCCACTACGGAAGTCCCTACTCAGACTTACCAAAAGATTTTTCACTGTTCTTCATTTCTTTGGCGAAGAAGCAATATACATTTTTAAATTTGCAAAAGCAGGCTTTGTGCCCCTGTGCGTGGGTGTGACTCCATCAAAAGCAGCACGCCATGAAGCAGAGAGCTCACATCTATGACTGTTGGGAAATGGAACAACTGAGTCAGGCAGAACTCTGTGCCAAACCTCTTCTGCTTTATAGCAACTCCAATCCTTTAAAGATTCTGCCAAAGTCTTTGGAAGTCTGCTGCTCAATAACATACTTTGGGAATAGTATTGATATATTCAGCGGAGTAGAGAAGGTATTTGAAGCAGCTTGCAACTGTGAGAAAGTGCCTAGCACAGGGCAACAGGTTCACTGGTTGCAGCTGGCAGAAACAGAAAAAGAGCCTTAAGGGAGGTAAAGCCAACTCCTGTTGGTCAGATGCAGCAGCTCTTTGGAGGAAACTTGCTGGCTTCAGCTGCAACCAGCTTCAGCTGGCGGCGGGATGTGTCACCTCACACATCCTAGCCTGCTGGGCATTGCTTGTAAGGAACCTCTTTAAAAGGCTGGGAATACAGATCACAGTGTGTTGCACTGACTCTTGGGAAGCCAGCAGGTTCCCCACATCCATTTGACTTAAAAACAAAACCTAGCGGCTTTGTTTATTTAAACGCCTCAAAAATGTGGTTTTGAAAGAGGCTCAAAAGCCACATGAAGACTAACATGTTAAAACAGGCCTGAAATTCAGGTTTAAGAGTTTCATTATAACCAAGGCTCCTATTAGGTATCCAGAAGGAGGCAGTTCTTTCTGGCTGAGTAGCTGAGTATCAGTGAGGGATGGAAGGAAGTTCTGCAGCCATGGTACCAAGAGATTGCTGCCAGGATTGCACACAGCCATACCCAGCTAGTCCCTTGCCTTCACAAGTACATTTGTCATGAAAACTAGGTTGTTTTTCCTCTTCATTTAACTTCATTTAGAGTTGAGCAAGGCAGTTGTCAGGGGATAAATCAAACATTTTTTCAGCTTGTAAATACAGATCATACATGTTAATTACCCAGCTCAATCTCCTCATCTGAAACACCAAGGAGAATGAGGTTGTTGGTGGGAGAAGCTGCCTGCCAGCATTCCTGAAAACTTACTTTTGGAGCATCTGTTTTGTTTTTAAGGGAGGTCTGGACCAAACTATGTTGCATTAAATGGAAAGGCTATGAAGCAAAGGTAAGTCCCAATTAATTTCAAGATCATTTAGAACGGTCTTCCTGTATAATTATTTTATTTTGATGCTTGTAATATAGGAAAAGACACCAAGAAAGTAATCTAAAGGGCTTTGGAAGAAACCTGGCAAAGAGTATGTCAATCAAACTAGGATCACATCACTCCCTTTCTAGTAGGCCTTTATATTTCCTAGAATACATTTGCTGTAAGGGTGAAAAAATACAATTAATGCTAAATTATAAGTGAGTATGTAATTTTTTTCTAGGGCTCTGAGCTGGTCCAATCTCCTTGCATTCTACTTCTAACAAGGGAGAGCCCAGAAGCTTGTCCTCCAATTCATGTCTGTAAATAAAACAATTAACATCAATTTCCAAGAGAAGAAGGATAGCCTGTGGCTTCTGCGGGCTGCACATCTTGCTCCATTTCTTTGGGATGTGTTTGTTTTGGGGCCAATCGCTACACCAAAGGCATTACTTAGAGATGCCTTTGAAAGGCATCTACTTAGAGAACTGAAAGGAGATGTGAGGCTACTCAAACAGCGATTACCCAATCCTATGTGACGCAATTGATTTATGAGTATTAGATGTTTGTGCAAAACACTGAGTTAACAGTTGTAAACAGATTCTAGAAACCATAACCTGCCTGTAGTTGTATTTGTTGCAGCTTCCTTTCTCCCTGATACCTGCAGGGCTGGCAACCCCTGAAGTTCCAGGAGACAGATAAGTCCATGTTAACCTTTCAGCTCTGGGGCTTTAGATCGCTCTCATTCATGCTGACAAAGCCAGCATGCTGCCCTTACCCACAGTGACAAGGCTGTGTTGCTTGTTGCACTTCCTCCTCCCTGTCTCTTCTTATCAGTCCACCAGCAAGTTCATTTACCTTTACCCATATTCTAACTATGCCATTCAGAGCGTTTTATTAGACCTCAAAATACCAAGCAGTGTCTGAAGAATCCTTTTCCTGCTATAAGCCAGCTTTTAACTTCATGTCACACACAGTGATCAAACAGGGAGTGTGCAGATGGAACTCTCATTGTCATGGGTAAATGACAACCAGCTATTTCCGACAATTCACTTTTCAAAACTTGTTCAAGATGACTCTCATATGAAGCTCAGCTGCAAGAAGTACAGAACTCAGACAATAGCACCCACAGGCTCACAGCAAGTTCAGTAGTAAACAATGAGTTCCAAAAAGGATTAAAAGAAGCTTTCACTCTTGTCATGGATGAACTCAGTGGCATACTTTGTTTATAGCTCCCTGGATGTTCTCTATTCACTGTCCAACAGTCCCAAAAGCACTGTGTTTGGCAAACGGTGACAATACCACAATCGCCTTGTAGTGGCAGACAGAGCTTTGATTCGGTCATGCTGTGCCTCTCAGAGCACTTTTCAGCCATGCCTAGATATCAGAAGTGTTAATATAAACGTAGGATTTGATTTTTAAAAGCAGTGGGTAGAAAGATTTAGAAGTTTTGCACCTTAACACAATCATTCATCGAATAAAATTTTCGTTTCCCAATCTTTCTGTTGAAAGCGGAAAGATAACGGTGGAATAACAGAACACAGCTATCTGAAACCAAGCTCGTTTGTTAACAGCAGCATGACCTGAGGGATGAAAAGCAGCTCAGATATTTGGATTATCTCCAGACTTCAGTGACTTTTGGTTACTCACTTGAGCTCTCTGAACCTCTCTGATTGTAGTTACATTGCATGGGCATGGAATATTTTTCAAAGCATGTTTGTACAGTGTTGAGAAGAATCAGATTGCAATCCCTTTTAGAGCTTCAAAAGCTAATATAAACAGTTCAAACAAATCATTTCTAAAGACCTGTAATGATTAACATCTGACTTTTCATCACGTAATTAGAGGCCTTCTTTTCCAAATACATAAGTATACTTCTCATGATTTTGGATGGCTAATCCAAAAATCCCAGCACTTGATATATTAACGTCAGAATATAAACTGAACATATTCCAGTGTTACAGTATTACATTTCCACAGTTTCCTGAGGGCTTTCAAAGCTACATACAGTTACATTTGTATTGAATCAACACGATTTGTTACTTTACATTAAAAATACCACCTAATCTTTCTGCGGGCGTTTCATGGTCATCTCTAAACCAAGCACAGCTCTTGTGAACTCAAGCTGACACACTCAGAAAACTCCTGGCCACACATCTGTATGAAGTGGCCCACAGTCATACCTCCTGCAGCTTCACAGCAGGACTGACCCACCAAATTTAGATGGAGATGTCCAAGGAAAACAGCTTAACAAGCATTAAGGTGAAGAAGGACTGTCTGACTGAGAGCATGCAATGTGACTGCCATCAGAGGGACTGCTCCTGAGATACAGGGCTCCGCTCTGATTCGGGTCTGAATACACTGAAAAGCATCTCAGGCATACATTATGTGTGATGTAGTATGCTTTCTGCAATACAGAGCAGATTGCATCAGGATGCTGAAGTGCCATCTTGAGGAAGGTCAGTTACTGAGCAACACCAGCAGCTGAACAAGTTCATATTGAGGTGGCTCTGTACATGTAAGAAGTACTTTCCACGTGCAAGGCACTAAATAGACTTTGCTTCTGAAATAATATACTATTATATATATATACTAGATATATATATTATCATATATATATATAGTATACAGCTATTATATAGCTGTAAGTAACAATGATGGAATTAATCCTCTGCCAGCACTCCCCCCATCACCACATTCACAAGAGAACAGGTTTTGGTTCTCTCACTACTAGACATTATATCAACTCCATATTACATAGCATAAGCCCAGAGGAGCTAGGATAAAACCTGCCTAATGAAATTCCAAGTTGCTCTTTTTGCAATATACTTTTTACAGTATCCAAACACATGTCATTGTGGTGAACTGCTTTGTCATTTGGGTCAGAAGCTTTCATTTAGTTACTCTGTAGAACTGAGATCCTCAAGTGCACATACTTCTTCCCATATTTGAAGTGCTAATCCACGTTGTGAGTTAAAGAACTTTCCTTGTGGGAGGTAACAAAACACAACAGAACTCCAACAGACTCGTGGTGCGCAGCACACCGTGCTGCCAACACTGGCTGCAGCAGTTCCTGCAGAAGGTAGATAGGAAGGCACACTATTATTGCACAGCTAACAAATACCTGCATGCACTGTGTAACAGGGACATCATCTGAGCTTAGACTTTCATATATTTAATGAGACGTGCTTTAAGATAAGGGGAAAACCCCTAACTACTCCTCTCTCAAGAACACACAATTAAAAGCTACACACTGCAAAGAAGATTAGAAAGTTCCAGAAAAAAAAAAAAAAAGTTTTTTTCCCATTTTACTTACCTCATTTCCTTTTCCCTACTACAGGACAGAGCTTACAGAAACCTTACAACATTCCAGTTCAACCTATAAACTGTCCATTTAGCACAGTGCCTATCAGCACTGTTTACGCATAATGATAAAGCATAATGTTCTGATTTCCAGATATATAAACCACAAGTTTATAACTGATTCATTTACTATTGATCCTATGGCAATATATCAAAAAGATCCATGTGTGTTTTACATTATAGCACTTCTGGATTAGGTCTGTCTTTCTCTTCTAAACCACTAGAAATACTATGCCTTTTAAAAGCATAAGAACAAAGACCCAACCAGGAGACTTAATCACAAAGCTCTAATTTCAGAGGTTATGCCCTTGCTGACATTATGTACCCATACATTTGCACCCTATTTAGTATAACTGACTGTTATTTTACACAAATGCTGTTCCCTGATGCTTTACTTCAGCTCTTACAAGTTCCCACTTTGGCAGCTCCACAGAAAAGGATTATGCATGCAAGATGCCTGCTATTAGCCAGAGAGCTGAAGCGAGTATGCAAAGAGAAACACACAGGAGAAGTATACAAAAAACTAATTCAAGAAATATCCAGACTATTTGTTTTAATTAATGCTTATATTTAAAAATCAAGTCAACATTGCATTTAAAGTAAAAAAAAGTCATGAAAGGGAACATAAATTTCTTGCTTGTTCAGCGAATTAAATCTCATCACGCAGGTTTAGACTTTGAACAACCTTAAAACCTCAACACAAAGACCATTAACATATGCTGCTTTCCACTGTTTAACCCACAAAGCCATGATGCAATTGAGGACAGAGCTCTCACATAGTGGCTGGATGACACAAACTGTAAGCAGCATGAACAGGTCAGTTGTTCTGTTCCTTTTCCTACCACTCATTGCTCATCCTACCCACTCTGCCCTCAGTTGCATCAACATACTGTGAGGACAATCAATTAGAATTAGGATCATAACCCTTGTGATAAAGAAAAAATGATTTTAAACACCAGAAAAACAGACATCCTCCCCAAGTCAGTTTTCCTTGCCTGCAATTCACTTTGCCTTTTGGCTCCAATGACAGTATTGGAGTCATCATAATATGAACTAGGTTCTTACATTACTTTTTATCTCATGACTTACGTTTTATCACTTCCTAGCTGATTAAGAATGATAGAAGATGAAGGCAGTTCATGAAACTCAATAGCCCTGTCGATACAATGACCTTGAATATTGGTCTGAAAACTCCTATGACTAGACCCATTTTACAGGCACCACAGCTTAGAGCCGGTAACACGGCAGGTCCATGGCCAGGAATTCAACACACAGGTCAGCTCCAGTGAGGATAACCAAGGCCAGGTGCAGACCAGGCACTACTAAACAGGCCCACAGCAGCAAGGTCATGATGGGCAGCAAGACCCAACACCTGGCACACAAATCAGCATCATTCACAGCTCTGCTGGGGGAGCAGAGCTCCAGCAGTGGGATTATATGAGCTCCTGAGCCCATGGGCAGCAGTGTGTGGGATAGAGAGTTCATGTGAGGCTGCTTAGGCCATCTGAGCCTGCCCTCAGGTTGCAAAAATGATCTCTATTAAATTTGGGATACAAAGAACTACATCTTGTCAGTAAGCCTACATGAATGCTGAAACTCATTTTTCCGTATCAATAATAAGCATCTTCAGGAAAACGAGCCTAACTTTCCTCATATTTTGGCTTCCTATTGGATAAATAAGCAATTTTCATCTCCATGGATATTAATCTGAATTGCTTATAAGCACTGCTGTTCACCCTAGGCTTGTAATAATTATTACGTATTTTGTACACATGCACTCATACGTTCTACACACGAAATGACTAACATCTTAACTTAGGCTCTCCGGCTCTTATTGAAGAGCCAATGAAATCAGCAGAAGTCTTTTCACTCAGTTTAATAGTCTGTTCTCATACCTCTGTATACTAAATGAAGCTAAAAGGAGAAAATGGAAGAAGCCTAAGAATAGCAGGATATTAAAGGGATTACTGCAATAGGGAATAAAGCAGATTTCCACAACAACTTCTGATTTTTAGCATTTTATTTAGCCAAACCAGATGGAACTGCCTTCAAAACAGCTCTGAATCTCATGGAAAAAACTGACTATGACAGTAAGCACAAATATCAGTTTACCCCATGTTCATCTCATGTCACTTAGAGCCAGTTTTCTTTTGCGTGGAATAGAATCATAGAATCATTAAGGTTGGAGAAACAACTAGGATCCCCACATCCAACCGCAGCCCACTCCCACCCTGCCCACTGCCCATGTCCCTCAGTGCCACGTCTCCATGGGTCTCAAACACCTCCTGGGTCACATTTGCTGTGAACAGGTTAGCATTCACTACTTCACCACATCACACTCCCAGTAGGAAAGCAGAGTACTAGCCTCTTACTGCAGAGCATTTTACCTTTCTCTGGGCAAGAGGGGCCTGAATTTAGTTGTGTAGCTTCCTGTAATAAAACACATAAAATAAGGTTCCCATGAGTTTCTCACTGATGTGTCCTCCAAGCAAAGCAGTTCCAGAGAGCACATGACCAGACTACCAAACACTCACATCTCTATTATTCTCAAAGGAGAGAAAATGCCTCAAGTCTCATGTGAGGGTGAGCTTCTCCCTACCCCTTGGGCCCTTTGCACCCTTTCTGTCACCATGAATTCCTCTGGCTCCATCATCCCACTCGCACCTTCAATAGTCCCTCTTCTTCCAGTGACAATAAATAGGGAATGAAAAATAGTAGTAGTAGCAGTAGTTACGTTCAGGGAGATGCTACCTGGATGCCATTGGAAGCAAACTGTGAGCAGCAGCTTGCACAGCTTGGAGTCTCAGAGCAAAGTTTCCTTACAGACATTGACACTGAGGCCCATTCCAAAATGTCCCTAATTAATGTATGTTTCTTCTGGTGCTTCTCTGTCGAATTAAACTGTCCTTTGCTCTTTTGAGCCTTTGTAAAGATCTGTAAATCTGTCTCCAAATGACAACTTTGACTATTGGTAGAGACAGATGGTGTAACACAGCTTCGTAGCTCTCTGCTCTCAGCTGTGCAATGTATTCTCAAGGTGAACGCCCCTCCAACTCCACCAGAACATCCTCAGGAGATCTGCCTATCTCTGAAAAGGAGATGGAAGACCATAAGAAAGTGCACACTCCCAGAGAGCCCAAAGACTATATTAATTTGTCTTTCTCAGCTGGTAGAAAATGTTCATTAATCAAGATGTATATATTTGCTTCATCTCATTGGAGAGAAAAGAGATGTTTCAAGCTGTGGTGGTGAGACCTCACCTGGAGCACATCCAGATGTGGAGGCAGCCTGAGAATGGCTGTGTCTGTTCCAGCTTCCAATGAGCTTAAGTGACTTTTCTTCAAAGGGCAGCTTTAAAATGATCTCTGCCTTTTGTTCTGAGGAAAATCAGCAGCTGGCTTCTTAACCTCCTAGTCTACTGACTCGAGCACAGCATTTAGAAGATGCATTTGTATCTGTCAGTGATAGGCAAGATCATGGATTTTTGTTACAGAAGAATTCTTCCATTCATTCCAAAGAAGACAGTTCATTTAGTGATCACGCAAGGATTCTTGGAAACATAGTCATGTGAAAAAGCTGTTTTCCCACAGATTGCAAGCAAATAACTTCAACTGAAATTCCTGTCTCTGCTCAGATTGGTTCCTCTTTTTTTCTCTTAGCCAAACATTCGTTTATTTAGGAATTTTACTTATTGTCTAATAAATATTTACTGTACTGGAATCTAAAATATACCCAGATTAGTGTGCTGGTCTAAACAGTCAACATCCTCATTGTTTTCAAGGGCCAATGTCCAAATACAAGTACTGCAGAATTGCACTGAAGACATAGTGACAACGTAATTATGTGGAAGTAGTGAAAGAGGAGAAAAAATTTTCTGCAGAAATTTAGAGAATGAAAAAGGTAATTTAAGTCTGTCTTCCCAAGCCAGTGTTAGATAACTGGAGGCAGGAGGGTGGGAGGAAGGAAGGAAAAAAAAAATGTAGTTTTCTTGTTCCAAGTTATTCCAAAACTACATACCCTTGGAGCAGTCTGAGTAACAAATCCCCTTTGTGCAAAATTTTTCTGGCACCCTGGTCCAGATCTGCTTCTACTCCCCCAGCTATGACTGACAGCCCTCTCATGACTTACATTCTTCTAAGTCCCTCACATTGCTAAACATCTGACTCCCATTTACAAAAGCAAAATCTCATCTGTGCAAGTGACTTGTGACTCTACCACTGCCCTGTGCAGCCCATTCCAGTGCCTTCTGGAGAAGAAATTGTTCTCAATACCCAACCTGAACCCTGATGCAACCTGAGGCCATTCCCTCTAATCTTACTGCTAGTTCTAGCTCAGGGCACGGATTTAGCATGTTAAATACACTTTTGAGCTTAACTGCAATGACAGTATAGACTTTTTCCACCTGATATGATATGCACAGGATACCAAAAAGATTTAAGTATATGTTGTTTTCAAAGCAAAACACCACCAATCCTCAGCGGGAATAAAAAGGTCAATTCTGTGGTAAATTCTGTGCTAAATAACATCACTGAGTTGCATAGTCACAGTATAATTACTGCGTGTTGAAAATATCATGACGTATCCAGCTTCACTCCAAGATCTCCGCACCACAATTTCTTATGGTTTCTGTAAGTTGCCCTCAGATCCTGTTCAAAATCTATCCAGAAACCAGAAAAGGAATCAAACAGTGATTCATTCCCAACTCCAAAACCAACCCACACACTGTTTCTAGGTGATTAATATACAGAAAATAACGCTAACCGTGGAAGAGAAACTGAACTCTGTGATCCACAAAGATTGGAAGAATTGAGATTGTTCATTCCAGAAAGGAAGACACTTAGGCAGGACAGTGAATTTAAAAACATAAAAGGCTGCTGCAGAGCTCTGCACAGGATGCCGTGCTGTAACATCACCGCAGAGCTGTAAGCAGGGCGCTTGGGAAAACTTTCACAGCAGAGTGAACCCATGTAATGGATGGCCTGGAACAAACTGCCTTAGAAGGCTTTGGAGACCCTGCCATGGGATTTCTGAAAACAGGATGTACTCAGAAACACTCAGATTTACTGATCAGTTTTCCTGTATCTACTGTCTGTCTGTACCTACTGATGTGTCCTGGACCATGGGGATGGATCAACTTTCAAACTATTGCTCTAAAACCTACTTCAGGGGCCTGGGAGGAGAATGTGGTGCCAAGATCAAGTAACGAGGATCAGATATGTTCTACCGATTCTGCTCTGACTGTATTGCTACTTTTAAAAGCAAACTTGCTTCTCTGAATTTCTCAGACTAGCAGTTGAGGTGCCGTCCTTTACCTTGGTGACACTGGCATCAATAGCGCAGTCCCTTTAGACCACAACTATTCTGCCCAGTCTCTCAACTGAACACAATTGAACACAATACTAAATTGCCCACAAGTATGCTTTAGCCTGGCTCTCATCTGGATAGAAGACCAAAGTAAAGACAGAGACTTGTTATTCCTCATCAAATGATGGTAGATAATTCTGTATATGAATCAAAGCAAAAAAACGCGGCAGTAAATAGAGACATTTGGGCTTCCAACATACAGAAATCCAGAGAAAGGCTTTGGAAGAGCTTCTAAAGAGGCACCAAGGGGAATTAGCAGGAGAATGGACAACTGGAGCAGGAGGTTTCAAAACAGTGTGTCAGCATAGTTGGAAATCTTAAGGACGAAGTACCACTCTTGGCTTAGTGTTCATTGCAGACTTTGGCAAGGACAACTATTGACTGAGGAAATAGCTCACATTCTTTGCCTCACTTAAGCAGTAACTAAAACATTAAAACAATGCTTTATTAAAAATAAAAAAAAAGCACTGATCTTCTTTTACAGCTCAAGTTATTCCTACATGCAACGTTTCTGTGTAAAGCATCCAAAAAGCACATAAACCACTTGGATGCTTCCCAAAATCTCATCTCCCCATAGGTCTGCTTTGTCAGTGCAGCAGACAGCTGAACACTTAATCTGCTCCAGACTCTCCTGGCTGACAGAAACCATGATCGCAGCACATATCTGATGTAACGTACTTGAAAACACTGTCAGGTTTTTGCAGTTTTTTCCATTCTTGACTAAACCTCACTCCATTAGCACTGCTCTCCAGCCTGTGCCGTTAGAGGTTTGCTTTGTAACTGAGAGACAGTTACATAAAGCATTCCACAACTCTCTTCTTATAGCATCAGATGGGAGTTTATCTAAGGTGCTTAGTTTCTTAAATAATTAGGAATAGAATAGACTACAATGGAACAGCATAAAGGACTTTTAACGCCAGCGACCAATGCCAAAACCCCTCTAGAATATAAGGAGTGCTTGTGTTTTCACGGGACAGCTTGGTTTTATTTATTAACTCTAGGATTTTTTTCCTCAAGCCAACACTGATGTGTGATGATAATATGCAAAAAATCTACAAGCTAAAATCTTTCCAGGAAAGAGTTGTACAAGCTTCATGTATAAAGTTATTATTGATAGAATTAATCGTCAGTCCTGTTTAAAAATGTTCAGCTGGCACTGAATTCAGCAGGATCTGGAATGATGAGAGATTTACTCCCAGTATCCATTGCAAAACTGTTTTGAAATCCTTTTCACGTTTTCTAAGAATAAAAGAGGGTACCAAACCTCTTCTATTTGCACCCATGTTCTGCTTTTGTTTTTTTTCAGGTCGCTGGAGTCTTGCATTGCTCCCTACCCTGCTCTCTTTCCTAGGTCTACGTATCTTGACTGACCTCAATGCAAAATCAGAATCACCCTGTTCTTTTTCACTGCTTACCCCTTTATCATTGTTCTTACATGATTATGCCTGGGAACACAGAGATCTGGTTCTGTGCTTTTATTATTGTTCCTTCTAATGGATAAAGGTCATTTATTGCACTTTTCTATAGAGGAAGATCACCACATTTCTAAAACCAGGACTAAACTGATTAATAACTCTGATAATACTCCAAAATTACCAAAGCACAAAGGAGTCACTCTTTTTTTAAAAGGATGGAATAAAAATACTCATTTACAGACTTGAATCTGAAGTTACTAATAAATCTATTTAAATAAGGAAAAGAAAAAAAAAAAAAAAAAAAAAAAAGGAGTCCAGACAGAATGCCTCATTTCTTCATTGTTCACCAGTCTGCAATGGGTGAAATTATTCCTCATCTTAAAAAAAACGTCCTGGAAAACTTTCAGATGCCTCATGTTATTGCATCTGTATCACCACGTGACCCCACATCTTGGACTTCTTCTGTGTCACCTCACTTCAGAATGGTGCTGAAGTGCTGCAGAGCTCTGTAAGGTGCCTGATGCTGTCGAATGGGTAAGCACCCTGAAAAGGTGTAACATAGAGGGAGCAACTGGGTGGCAAATTCACAGCATCTCTGTTTACAGGTTTGAGGATTTGCAGCTTGGAACTGGGAGCTGAAGTGCCCTGTTTCCAATGAAACACACAAACATGGGCTGACTTCTCTGTAAAATCAGTTCTGGTCAACTCTGGGTGTTAAGAGTGAAAGACAATGTGAAAAAGCTCCATGAAACTCATATCTCTGTACGTTTCAGTGACACTGTCGAGACCAATTTTTTTGCAGGGTTCTGCAGCTGCTTGGAGTACAATGTGTGTGTGTATATATACAGTTCATCAGCTGCTTTTTCTCCACTTACAAGAAACAAAAAAAAAAATCAGGAAAATGTTTACTTGCTTGAAATCCCACTAATTCTTGTGAATGAGAAATTGTTTTGTTGAGACCTACCAAGCACTGGGCAACATTTATCCCAATAATGACAGCGAGCTCTGCTGCACAGCTAATGGTGTTTTGTGTTCTGCTAAGTTAAACTTGCTGTTAATATTCTTGCAGTATACTCAAAGCAAATCTCTCAAACGTAAGTACGTTTGCTTTAGGATGAGAGCACTCCCCCTTATACTAACAGAGGGGTTTCCAGGCACAGAAGTGTTTTCTGGTGCGAATATCTACAACTCGAACCACCTTCATAACAACACCGTGGGGGAAGCCGAGGCCACGCCGCCGCGTGATGTACCTGCAGTCACAGCGGGAGCAACGGCATAAGAGCGAAGGCTAGAGGAACGCGTGATTTTGCCCTCGAGGCCATGACTCCCGGCCCGGGGCCGACGAGCCGAACGCCCACCGGCAGCAAACGCCCGCACGGCTTCCTCCGCGCCATCCACGTGACAAGGGAAAAAACCGAGTCGCTTATTTTCGGCTCCTGGATGCACCTGACCATCTGCGAGCGCACGAGCCGTGCGCTTTTACTGCGCCTGGCAGCCGCTCGTTCTCCGCGCCAACTTGTAAAAACGTCCTCCTTCCCCCTTCTTCCCACCTTTGACTCGCCTCTCTCCGCGGGGACCGGCGCCGCACACCCCAGCTCTCGGGTCGCCGCCGCACGGCGCAGGAGCGCAGCTCCGCGGTCCCGCGCTGCCGCCGCGCGGTGGAGCAGCGCCGCCGAGCTGCGGATCTGCGCTCCGTCCGCCGTGAGGGCGGCGGCGGGAAGGGCGCGGAGCGGACGGCCGCGACTGCGATCCACAGCCAGGGGACCGGGACCGGCCAGCGTGGGCTCGTGAAAGGCTGTCCTGCCTGAGCAACCTCGTCTCCTTTGCGAGCAGGGGACGGGACAGGCTGTGGAGTAGTCTATATGGACTTAAGCGAAGCCCTGGATTGCCTCCCACAGCGTTCTCCTGCAGAAGCTTGGACGAGTGCGCTCTTCGCTGGGTAGAAAACTGGCTGGGGGGCCGGGTCCCGAGAGTGGTGGTGAATGGGGTTACACCTGGGTGGGAGCCAGTCGCAAGTGGTGCTCCTCAGGCATCAGTACTGGATCTGGAACTGTTCAGTATCTTTACTGATGATTTGGGTGGGGGAATTGAGCGCACTCCCGCTATGTTTGCCGGTAACAGCAAGCTGGAAGGAAGTGTGCATCTGCCTGGGGGTAGGAAGCCCTACAGAGGGATCAGGACTGGCTGGATTGCTGGGCTGAGGCCAACTGGATGAGCTTCGGCAAGATCAAGTGCTGAGTCCTGCATTTTGGTCACAAAAATCCTAAACATCACTGCGGTTTTGGAGCAATGTGGCTGCAGAGGAAAAAATTTTGGTGTGTCAATTGATAGGCAGCTGAACACATCTATGATTCTAAGTTATTACTTGTTTGCCACTGCCAGGGACTTCAATTCAGCTGGTAATAGCAGAAGTGAAAACATTTCTTAGTAAATAAGTAATTTTAAAAAGCGCTCTGAAGTTGAACTTCAGTCTCAACTTTGCAGGAACAGCAAACAAATGTAGCACGCTTGTTAGCTGGTCGTGTCAGTGGGACACAGAAACCAGCTGTGCATTAACATTGCAGCTATGGGTCCCCCACAGAAGCATTGTAGAGAAGGATTTATTAATCTGGTGGGCTCAGACCTCTAAAATGTAACTATTGCTATTGTGGGAATCAAATGGTGTTTCTGCATTACAATAAGATAAGAATTTTTTATTTCATGGCCTCCGCTGCCATAGTTCTTTCTGGGAGTCTACTTTACTTGGAGGGGGTCTCTGATAGTTTGCATCACTTATCCTCTAGATGAACCTTCCCCAGGAATGCACGCTCAGTATATATGTAATATTTTGTCATACACAATGCAAGAATATCCTGCACGAGGTTGATCACATCTGAGAACAAGTGGTGAGATGCCCAGGGAAGCGCCTGAAGAGACACTGAGAAGGCACCCTCCTCTCCCCCGGTGCTCTTTGTTTAAGGAAGACTTTGAAGAAAATCACCATATCAATGCGACAGGAAGAGCACTGAGACATCTTGGAAACAACAGGATGGCTGCTGGCTGACACCAGGTGACACAGCAATTAACAGATGTAGACCGTGTTAAGATTGTGAACCTGGAGTGCCCAGCCAATGGGGAGACGGGGGAGGGGGGGCAGGCAAAAGGGGAAACAAGGTTCAAAAGCTGACACTGCGTCCTTAGCGATGCTCCTGCTCGCGGGACGCCCGCCGCAATCGCGAATAAAACCTGCTTTTATCATAGATACCGTCCTGACAAATTCTTCGGATATTTCCAACACTGTGATCCCCACATATTCATGTTGATCAGGAAATTTTGAAAAGGGTTTTTTCAAGAATGTAAAATGACGTTCTCTTGAGAAGAGTGTGAGAAACTCCACTTTATTTTATTTTCCCATAAAAAGCCTCATCAACTTCATCTCTGCTTAATGTTAGTAAAATGCATTTACCTTTGTAAACATATTTTGTTACTTTTGAAATGTCATGGCACTCTAAAACTTAACTGTTACATCTGTGCAGCTGTCCCCTAACTTGCAATCTCAAAGAATTAAGTTAATTTTCTCAGAAATAAATATTTCCCATCAAAATGTTTACTGACAGTATATTCTGTTTCTTTCTCAGCTGAATCTTCTCCATACCTTCCTGTGGCTTCACTCAAAGTTTATGTCTGATTCATTTGCAGTTACATCCTGTTTTGTTCTCCATATCCTGACGCAAATACCACGGCCGTTCTGGTTCCACAGATTTCTGCAAGTTTTACAGAACACCTGATGCTGACTTACGGAACAGACTCCATAACCACGAGGTAGTTGTAGAGCAGGTGTGTTTATTTGGCTGACCAAGGGAGGATAACTCCTTCCTAGCCTGCATACCGAAGGCAGGTAAACATCTCTGTTGTAGAGGGAATACGTGCATATTTATGGTACAAGGAGTGGTTATTACAATTAATTCTAGAAATTCATTACAATATTCCATGTCTATTCTACACTCCAAACTACACCCTCATATTGTATAATGGCCCCATACTGTTTCCATTGTTCGTGCTCAACTGCTCTTACAGTTTTAACAATATAACAGCCCTTTATTCAATGCCTGCAAAATATTTCACCTTTGAGCCAAGCAATATAATCCAAATCCTTTTAGAATGCTTTGTACTTGTGCCAACTTAGCACCAATATTTGCAATAGTCTTCAAAGCTAAGTGTAAAAATATCCCAGAATGTGGGATAAATAGATTAACTTATCAATACCAAGCAAACATGTACTCTGTACCATAAATACATACATTCACTGAGCATTCCTGAAAGTTTTCTTCTAAATTAGTTTAACATGGGCCAGTGAAGCTCCTGCTCCTGTTCTCCTGCAAATATCACCATTATTACACTTGTTTTGCTAGCACTTTTTAACTCTAACTCTCATATTTCTTTGTATCATTTCACCTTACACCAGTTTGTTCAGCACTGCTACAGAAACTTCCTAACCCATGGGTGCCCAACTTTCTGGCTTGCCTGGCCTGCAGAGAGTGAAGAGGAATTGTCTTAGCCATAGAAAAGGAACAACACTTTTTTTTTTTTCTTTTTTTTTTTTTACTATTTGTTTTTTACTAAAACTTAAAAACTTAAAAAAAAAAAAAAAAAAAAAACACCCAAAACCACAAACACCAAACTAGTGGAATATTTAAGATTTGACTTTTTTTTTTTAACTTTTTTTTTGGTGAAACTAACACACATCTGGTTAGATATAATTGTTTGCAATTCCTAGTGAGTTCTCGAGCTGCTCATCAGAAAGTTTTGGTGAAATTTCACTCTTGGAATGGATTGGGTTGGAAGGGATCCTACAGATCACCCAGCCAACAGGTGCCCCCCAGCACAGGCTGCCCAGGGCCCCATCCAGTCTGGCCTGGAGCACTCCCATGGATGAGGCACCCGCAGCTCTCTGGGTGGCTGTCAGGGCCTCACCACCGTCTGAGGAAATAATTTCTTCTTAACATCAAACTTGATTTTCCTCTCCTTTGGTTTAAAGCCCTTATCCTATCACTATCAGAACAGCTAAGCACTCAGTTCCTTTCCTGCTTATAAGCTCCCCACAGGTACTGGAAGGCTGCTGTGAGGTCTTCCCAGAGCCTTCTCTTCCCCAAGCTAAGCAAACCCAAATCCTTCACTCTTTCTGCATAGGAGAGGCACTCCAGCCCTCAGATCATCTCTGATCCTGTTCCAAGAGCTCTTCTTTCCAGTGCATGATGCCCCAGGCCAGGACACAGTGCTCCAGATGGGAGTTTACAACTTTTTGAAGAAATGAGGTAGCACAAGGAAAGAGGGACCAAACTTGCAGAAAGAGAAAATAATAACCACACAGCATAGCTCAGCAAAGGAGAAGATGTTCTCAACGTGCAAATTGTCTGTTAGGGCCAGAAACAAACCGTCAGCCCTCTGCTCTATTTCTTTAATCAGTGATATTCCTTGTTTTCTGTTGTATGTATGCATTACTGGCAAGCCTCTTGAGTTTAATCTTTTAAAGAAAGTGTATAAAAAGGAAAAATGATTATGCTACAGTGCATGTTTTTAATTAATGCTGAAAGGGACAGTTTTCGCTTTTAGTTGAATCTAAAAAATAGGTTCCAGATTCTCAAAATGAAAGTGGATATTTTGCAAGCCTGCCTACAACAATTTACCAGAAAATCCCAATGATGAAACAGCAGGAAAATGATTTAGCCACACTTTCCACAACATTGAAAGGATAAGAGGAGGAAGTAGTGGTAATGTGGTGTGCTGGACATAATGAAATTACACTGGGGTGCAAGAAAGCAAAATAAATTGTCTGTCCATGGAGGTTTTCAAGAAAAGAGTAGACATGCTGAGGAACATGGTCAAGAGCTGTCCCAGCCATGGGTTGATGGGTGGACTCAATGATCTTAGTGGTCTTTCTAACCTTAAGGATTCTCTGACTCCATGATTCTTGTGAATATAGCACTATGAATTTATTTTATTTAAAGATAAGTCAAGCTTTTGGAGCCACGAAATATGGTTTAGTAGCTTGTGGTACTGGGAATGGGAGGGTGGTTGGACTAGATGATCTTGCAGGTTGTTTCCAACCTTGTGATTCTATGATTCTATGATTCTTTTCATTCCCAGAAGATACAAAGGGAGCTTCCTGGATGCTCCTCTGTCTACCAAGAGCCCTGAGGACAGCTTTCATAGTCAGCCACCTGCAGTGTTGTCTGAGCACCATGCTCGTGTCAATTCAGACTAGTTATCCCCTGTTAGTAGTTATCCCCTGATGACTGAAGTTACTGCTGCACAAGAGCAAAGCCTGTATCTCTGAGTCTTAGCAGATTGCAGTGCATTAACTCCTAGTTTAGGAAGACTCATATGAAGCCTGCTAGAAACCATTTAGAGAAGCCAGTCTTCTTCAGATTCTTCCCCCACGGCTTTTCACTTGGTGAAAAAGTTCCTCTAAATAAATTAAGACTGTTTCCACTAGAAGGACATCACAGACATGAAACTTGCAGTGTCTGTGAAGCATTCTCTGTGCAAGGAGAAAAAAAATAACAGAAAAATTTTCCACCAGTGTGTCATAATTTGTTTTTCTGGGAGGTTCACCAAAAAAATAAAAAAAAGGAGAAGAAACTTTGAGCATTAGCATTAGAGACAACAGCCTGACAGGCCCATTTTATCTCTTCAGTATGTTTCATGACAATAGGTATTATATGTAATTTAAAAGGTATATATTTTCAATCTGACCAAGTTAAAGTTTAGCTGAAAATTTCTTTGCTGGCTCTCTGCATCTGATTCTGCAGCCTGGAGAGAACAGGCACTCAAAGGAATGTATTTCTGTTCTAGATAACCCTATATCCTTACAAAGTCGTACTACGTAGACGTGAAGATGCTATATAAATAAACTATATAAATATGTATGTTCACAACAATGTATACTATTTATTACATCACATGGTATTTGAGCGTGGTCTTTTTGGTAGGAAGAAAGCCAGCTACTACTGATGCAAGTGCATGTATACCAGCCTGAGCAAACTGTGGAAATCCCCAGTTAGAAGGCAAAGATATTCTTATATATGTTCTTATATAAGAACTTGATTGCTCAACCATGAATATACCCTTTTTTTTCCCCCCTCATTATTTTTATTACATTGCTGTGTGTGTCACTTCTTAATCAGGAAGTGACAACAGGCAGATCTCTGGAAACAAGCAGACTAAGCAAAAAAGCAAACAATTCAGGCAGTAATATTTTTCTCAGTACTCGATTTGAATATTATAGGTATGATAAACTTTTTTGGAGAAGATAAACTCAAATGGGCTCTCCTTTATGCTTCTTGAGATAGATTTCATCTTCAATGACTTTCTTATCTGAATGTGTAGGTAGCTAACCAGACTCACCCCGAGTCCCTCATTTATATAATAAGATCCACCAGACTGTAGCAAATGCTCAACACTTAACATACACAGCAGCTTAATAATGGCAGTCCCAGCATAAAAAGTGAGAAAAAAAACAAGCAAACAAACAACAGCAGACAACCCACCAACAGGATCCTGCAGTTCATTCTTTTTAGTGAAGATTTCTCATATTTTTTTCAAGAGGTCAGTGCTTGTAATGATGTGGTTGAAACTCTTTAGTAGTTCATTTCTGTTCTTACAACTATGTTTTCTGTTATTTTGCAGAAAGGTCTTCCCTAACAAGAGTAAGTTGTGCTTACACAATCTGCCAGTTTTGACTTGGTTTAAGCAACGTGTAAAACAGCACCTTTTTCACATATCTTAACTTCAAAGAATGTCACTGCATAGTGCTACCAGATTTGCCAGTCAAGCAGTTCTTCAGGAGATCTGTTTAGGGGAGATGTTTTTAAATGTGTATTTTAATCATTCATTTTCAGATGCCACTTCCACCTGGATGGCCAGATATTTTTGTTGAGAGTCTCCTACAGGTAATGCTTGGCTTTCTTACAAACTCCTGGGTTTCTAATGAACGTATTTACAAAGGGTTTTGATTTGGCAGCAACAGAATGAAAGCTAAATCTCATACTTCACCTCCTGATTACTGCAGGATCTGTTAAAACTGCAAGGGCTAATGTTTTCATTAATAACTTTGAAAGGATCAAAGTTTCGTAAGTAGACCTTTGCTCACAAAAGTGCTGTTTTCTCTTTAGGTGCTCTCTCTTCACACTGTTTACATGACTTATGGATTCTAGCCCAATTAAAAATGTTGTATGTTGATTGAGGCTTCTTTGAACTACACAGGGCAGTGACACTTGAGTTAAGACTGTTGAGAAATAAAGGTAAATTCTTTTTTTTTTTATACTTTGTGTTATTTGGCTGATTTCCATGAAAGAAAAGGAAGCACTCATCTCCTGGAGTGTTGGACTTGATTCCAGTTTGGTGTGCTAATGACCAAATTCAAAGAATATGAACTCAATAAGGTTGGTTTCAGCAGAGCAGTTTCACCATAAGGAGAGAACTGGAAGTCCATTGACGTTTACTGGAGCAGTTTGCAGTTCTTTTTTCATGTCACTAAGTGCAAGAGAACTACAGGTAGACTTGATCATATAAACATTTAAAAGGAAGTCAACAGCAATTTGCATCTTTCAGATGCTTTTAAAGTATCTGTTGCTGAAGATTTGCAGGGGAAGAAGTAAAGTTCCACAGTGAAAAACTGTAAATGAAAGCCGGTGCATCTCCAGAAAAAGTACCATAGTCATAATGCCTTCTCTGAGTAAAAGGAGAATGATGTAGGAAAGAAAAGCCTGACCTACTGACAAATATTTGTTACTGCTGAGCTTCACACAAAGACCCATTTAATGCTTGAAGAAAGAGATGAGGGGATGAGGAGGTGATGGGATACATTAATTTGAAGACAGGATGATATAAAAAGAAACAGGTGGAAGAAGTGTAGGATTATGACTGAAATAGGGGAATGGAGAGGAGTAAGTGAAGGATTACTGCAAAAGAAAAAGGTGAAAGAACAGGGATAAAATATGGTCTTCCAGCTAGATCTGGTGTTCATACTCAAAGATTGTGTGCTGATCTCCATAGAAGGAGAACTGGGGAGAATAAATCAGGAAGAAGGGCCACAAAGTGACTAAGATGATACAGCGGTCAGTAAAAATGCAGAGGCCTCATCCTGTTGCCTCATCCCTCATGTGCTATAGGTTTCTGTAGGAATAGTTTATGGGCTCCACCCATTTTTTTAGGGCTGCTGACTGAAAATCCTCACTTGAACACCAACCCCCTCTCCCCCCCTCCCCGTTTACTAAAGGCAGATGGCATCTAGAGCAGTATTCTAATCTTCCAGTGAACAAGAAAATGCAGAATTCTTTCTTAATTTGGGACCATACTAAGTCTCACTGATTTGAAACTTAATTTGGCCTTACATTGGTATAAAAATGTTGATACTGAAGATCTTGGATTTTTTAAAATTCCTTGCTTGATTTCTTTGCTTACATTTTCATGGTTCAGCATTGTGAAGTAGAAAAACACAATGCTCAGGGCCAAGCAAATTGAAGATCCTGCATTTTGCTTTGTATTCACAAAGGCTGTGAAAGTCTGCTCACATTGTCCTATATCCCTGTGTTACATGTTGACAGGAAGGTCACCCATCCAGGCCTCTGTCATTTCGCCATGAGCCTTAGTGGAACTCTTTAGGTATGTAGATAATCTGGAGCTTTAGTGTTTCTCCACCCTGTTTTAATAGTGCATAATATGTCATGATCCAAAACCAATCATAAACTCTTGGGACGTGGACTAGTGTGCCCTTCCACAAAGCTCTTAATACTCTGTTGTTCACAATTACAGGTACTATACATTTTATGGTACTTGTTTAAGATTCCACTATTAAAAAAAAAAGGTGCTGAAAAGCATTAATAAATTTATGTGGTGCCCTTAATCAGCAGAGCTGCTGTCACTGTTAATTTCATAGAACCTAACTGCAGCCAGTAGTTGTGATACTTTTGTTTAGTCATTTCCATAATGACAGATTGAGCTCATGGCTGTTTTCCAAAACAGCATGGCATGAATGTTTGAAGAAATAATTGTCTTTAAACAAAAGAATAAAAGAAATGGGAAGCTGTAGTTTATCTGTAAATTCATGGCATGGATAGCACAATGTTGTGTCTTGATTTATCACCTTAGAATGGGCAAGTTATGTGCCTGATTGGAGTTATTTTCTGAAGCAACCAGTTATATCATCATTGGCTATACACGGGCACTCCAGCGTAGTTTTGTGAAGGTGAAATAATGAACACTTGAATCCTACCAACCTGAACCATAACAAACATGTAAGTACTCATGTCTCACAAGAGCTCTTAAACACACAAGGAGCAAAAAAAAATGGCACCTCAGAACCTACATTTCCAAAAATTATTCTGTACAGAACTGGCATAACCAGATTGAGAAATGATGGGAACTCTGCCATCCACTGAGTGCAGAATTCACTGAATATGCGTCAGAGCCCTTGGTATTTGGGTCATCTGAATGCTTCAGCCTCCTGATGCTGTCTCATTCTTCTGTTGTGCATCCTTACTCTATTAATACTTTGTCTTATGCTGTGGCCCTCCTTCAATGCTGCTACTATTAAAGCTCCCATTTTATTTTACATTTAAATGCAACTAGATTCATTCTGATTATTAGGTGTGCCCTAAACCACAGTACTCTTTTGATATCATCATTATTCCTACTTTCCGGATGTTAATCATGGAATCATGGAATGGCTCAGGTTCTGAGGGACCTCGAGGATCACGAATCTCCAACCCCCTGCCACATGCAGGGCCACCAACCTCCGCGCTTAATGCTACACCAGGCTGCCCAGGGCCCCATCCTTGAACACTTCCAGGGATGGATGGGGCATCACAGCCTCTCTGGGCAGCTGTTCCAGCACCTCACCACTCTCATAGCAAAGAACTTCCCCCTGACATCCAACCTCAATCTCCCCTCCTTCAACTTCCCCTTGTCCTGCTGTCATCTCCCCTTTCACAGAGTTGCCTCCCCTCCTGTTTGTAGGCTCCCTTTAGGTACTGAAAGCTGCAATGAGGTCACCCCGCGCCTTCTTCTCTCCAGGCTGAACAAGCCCAGCTCCTTCAGCCTGTCTTCATAGTGGAGGTGCTGCAGCACTCTGATCATCTTTGTGGCCTTCTCTGGACTGTCTCTAACAGCTCCTTGTCTTTCCTGTATTGGGGGTTCCAGACCTTTTTTGGTTAAGACCAAATGTGTTTGCATTTTTTTACATTGTTTTAGCTTGCAAGTGAACCACAAAGCCAAGTTCAGACGGAAGAAGCAGGTGCTCTGTTCTTTTGTGCACTGCTATGAATAGGTTTTAAAATATATTCTTTGGGCACTTTGAATAGCTTATAAGTTTTTTTCACCATCTGCTCCTTGAAATCTCAAAACTTCTGTTTCTGCCTTTCAATATGAACAAACTGAAAAATATGACCAATAGTTGAAATACTGAACTTAATTCTTGCAGTTAGTCAGATTCTATGTGCATTTCCACTCATGTAATGATTGCATTCACTCAGTGAATATGGAATCCTGCAATCATGTTATTGCTCTCCAGATTACCTCCTTGTTCATTCTTGTTCCCTCCTGCATATGGTTCAGGATCTCGCTATCTTTCCCTGTCCTTGATATCAGTGCATAGTCATTAGGTCTATCATATCAATTAATCCTTGCTGGAGGGCTTTATTTTGGGCATTTTACCCAATTCAAAACAAAATACAACAACAACAACAACAAAACAACCTACTTCTCACAGTCAAACTGATTTTTTTTCAATTTTTTTCTCTAAATACTGAATAGGATGTGTTTCTTGCCCAGTATTTATAAATTTCCAGAATATGTGAGAGACTTTAAATTTCCCTGGCTAAATTAAGTGTAGGTAAAACAGTAGTAAATTTCCTTATCAATTAACATGTTCAATAGTAGCAAGAAATGTTTAATTAATGCACATCTGCGCTAGAGATTGTCCTATCTGTTTCTGGTTTCTCCAAATATGGATAAAAGTTTTGTTTTAGAGTTGGTATTTTTTTAAACTGAAAACAATACTGGTGAGAAGTAATCCAACGTGGAACTGTTCCAGCACTCTACTTCCCCAGCATGTGACATTCTAAGAATACAGAAGTAACTCAGACTGCTTGTGTTAAATAACTTGTTTTAAATTAAGTCCTTTGAATTCTATGTAAAACTTTCCCTGAGAAGTTCCTTTAATTAATTGTAAGGACTTTTACCAGCAGTGATTCTGCAATAGTAGAGTGTGGGCCTGACAAGCTAGTACCCTTAATAAGGGAAAACATTATTAATGAGTGCCTGATAAAAGTGTAAAAGATACAATGAAGATATTGTTGATAATATTGAAGTCAAGGAGAAAGTGGGTCCTGTGTCTGAAGCAACTCGCTGCATTTTCCACATTCTACAGGACCTTTTTTGCCTGTTCACCTGTGTCTCTCTCCCTTGTATTAATTTCACTTTCAGAAGGGTGTGCTGAACAGAGAAAGTTGGTGCGGTTTGGACAGCTTCAGCTTTCAGGAAATAACTCGCTGTGCTTGAAAGCACGCTCACACTTCCCACTCACAGTGTGCTTCCTCTCAAGCCCCAGAGTGCTAGCCACATGATTTTAGATAAAAGGGACTTTCCCAGCATCATAGGAGGATTAGGTAATTGTTAATGATTTTTCCCTTCTCTGCTTGGGGGTGAAAGTTTGGCCCAAATCCACAGGTGGTCTCCAATGAAGCTGTTTGTAAGGTGGGCTATACGTAAAGGCACTCTGCATGAAGTGTCAAGTTTGTGGTCAACCAAATGTGGTCAACCAAAATGTCTGCTTTGTCCTAAAGTCTCTACTCCTTGCCTAGCAATCCCAGCTCTCAGTATCAAAGCCTAGCAGGAGCACAATTAGGCCTTACAAAGTTGTCACTAAACTTGAGGTTTTCTGGATCTTTGACATTTTCTAGTCAAGCCTCCTGCTCAAGGCAGGAGTACTGGCAGTGCTCAGTCAGATCAGCAGTTGCTTTGCCCAGATGAATCCAGAAAATCTTACAGGACAGAGATGCTAAGGCCTGAGTGCTCCATTCCAGTGCTGCATTACCCACTTGGTGGAAAAGCTTGTTCTGGTTTAAACCTCAGAAGTAGAAACACCTTCCTCTGCCACTGGTGGCAAACTGCCCCTATGGAGAAGAATTTAACTCTTCAAAACTGATCTTCAAGTAGTTGTAGACTTGCAATAGACCACCACTTAACCTCCTCCTTTGCCTAAGACTAGCTCTTTCAACCTGCTCTTCTATGCTCGTGTACTCTTGGGCCACAGACAATCTAGGTACTGCCCACTACATTCTCTCTGATTTCTCAACATATTTATTTGAACCATTTTTTGTGTATTGAAGCACAATGGATTCTCTTCCTATGACTGTACTTTTAATAGTAATCCTGTATACAATTTGCTCCATCATGATGAGAAGCATGCTGTTGGCTCATCATCAGTGTAGTTTCCAGTGTAGCTCCCATACCTCCTTCAGCAGGGCTGTTTTCCAGCCAGTTCACCTTTATTCCTTTGCAAATGAACATCACCTCTATGCTTACCAATCCCCTAACAAGATAATGGCAGTTTCCATCCTGCTTTAAGATCGATGACTTACAGTGCTTAAGGGGATCCTATACCTGGGATATCGCTTTGATCGACTGCAGAGATGATTGTTGGCTCCAAACACATCTATGATTGGACCTGGTACAATACAGTATTTTTCAGTGCTATATAATCTTTCTTTTCCCTCTGGGGTTCCTCAGTGTGGGGGGAAAAAAGCAAAAATTTGACCTCTTTTTTTTCTGTCTCATTAATTACAGACAGCTAACAAATCAGTCCCAGCAAACACATCGGCAGTCACCAAGGAGTTACAGTGCTATGTCCTACCAGGAAATTTTAGATGTTTGCTGGCAGCCAATGAAAGGCGAGATAACAATGCTGCTGACTCATGAACAGGAAAGCTCCAACTGCATTTGTAGCAGGCTCACATCTGCAGCAGTATCACTACAACACTGGTCGTCTTTATGCTGGTATTTCTAAAGGTAAGTTGCTGTTTGCTTCCAATTTCTTCCTTTTGGGCATTTGAATATTAGTTTAACTTAGAAGAGTTTCTCACATGCTAAGAAAAATGTCTTCACTGTAAATTACTTTTTAGAGTTATCTTTAAAGTTAGAAACTTGATATAAATATAGGAAATAAGAAAATATTAGGAAAAACTTCTCTGAAAGAGCAGTGATGCAGTGGCACAGCTGCCCAGGGATGGGGGGAGTCACTGTCCCCAGGAGTGTCCCAGAGCCATGGGGATGTGGCACTGAGCGACGGGGGCCGTGGGCACGGTGGGGGTGGGCTGAGATTGGACCTGGGGATGTGAGAAGTCTTCTCCAGCCTTAATGATTCGATGATTGTATGAAATGGCTTTATAGTCATCTCCCTCCTGCCCCTAACCTCTCAGGAGACGACGACAAAGTTTTTAAATAATGCAAAAAGCTTGGAAAAAAATCATAAAAAAAGAAAAAACAAACAAAAAAAAACCCCAAAACATTTTGTTATTTGATAATGAGATTTGAATTGGGTCTAAGAAGAAAAACGGAAGAGCAGAACTGTTGGAAAAAATACCGAACTTATCACCTGGGAGTTAGAGTGAGACTTTGTTGTCTGTAACTTCCTTTAACAGTACCGTAATACATCATTAGTCCCCCCAACTATTGTAGCAGCCTTACTAGAGCCTGGATAAATAACGGAACTCTCATTTTAGATGCTAAAACCAAATCAGTCTGAGTTCAGGTGTGGAAGCAGATGTGCAAATCCAAAGAGAGGAACAATATTCTTCAATGCGATGTGGTTTGTAACAGACTGAACTGTTTTTCATTTTGTTTGCACAAATCACTAGATAAATTGCATTTTGCAAATAAAAAACAGGAGCTGCTGATAGCTTTTCTTTTTATCTAAATTGTGAATTAGTAGTAGCTTAAAAACTGTTACAGCTTTACTTGATTCCATTTCAAGTAGAAACATTCTGGAATGATTTAGGTCCCATATTCATTGTACAGGCTTCTTTGTACTATGTTTGGAGTTCTTAGTAAATTATTTTGATTATTTACAAGTTTATTTGTTTTATTATAGAGCAATATGAGATGGATTTTTTTTTCCTGTCAGCCTTCTGACTGCCTCATTTTTACTCAGGGTTTGTAGATTTGCATGGTTTTTCTCTGCAATTTAAGGGATAAGTGGCTTATCTGGAAACTTACATTAATTCAGAGAAACCTTTTCTAAGTTTATGAGACTACTAACGTGTCTTCCAGTGTCATGTCTAAGTGGAATGTCTAAGGTAGTGATTGCTTTCAAATTACAATAATCTTAAAAAGTAAGTGGTTCAACCGTGCTGTCATTAAAATCAAACAGTGTTGAAGCTGAGCTGGCCAACCAGCTGCTGTACTTTTATTTACATTTTGATTGTAGTTAGATGAGATATTGAATAATTGCCCATTTTTTCATGAGAATCAGCGAAACTCTTTCTTTCTGGCATTTAACTGTTAGATATTTAACTGTTAGATACTAATTCTTTGTCTACATAATTCAGTATCATTTTAAAACATATTATTAATAATTACTATATATTTCAAATGATCAGGTAGAAACAATAAGCAATTATTTAGCACCTCACAGCCCTGGATGGCAAGTTATGTCCTGAGCACTCTTCTGCAGTTAAGTGTAATTTTCCTGTATTTGTAAGGAAGATCTGACACTGAGTGGTGAAGGGAAGGCTTTAGGGTTGGGATAGGGTTGTTCAGTGTGTAAGAGGTGGCACAATGCCACTATGCTTTGGCAGCAGTGAAAACAGGCCTAAGAACTTTTTTGTCATTCTTTTCCCCAAGTCAGCCTGTAATAGCCCAGGAGGGTTTGATTGCTTTACCTCAGACAGGACAGGCTCAGGTTTTGCACTGAAAGCCTTTCGTATTTCATGGAACACTCACATCTCTGTGAAGCTGCTGACCAGCAAGAACACTACAGAGCAGTATGTACCTCATTGACCATGCAGTGATGGTACCAGCACCAATCATGGTGTGCTCAGGTTCATCCAGTCCCTAAACACCTCTCCTTCCTAGAAATCCCCACTCAAGAGGCAGCTTGGAGGCAGTTATATTGAGAAACAAACTCTACATATTTTTTTTTCTCTTCAAAATTTATAGAAGCTGAGCTTATTCCTGAAGTCATTATGTCTACTGTAATGATGTCTGCAGACTCTGACCAGTGATATTCGGCATGCCATGTATGGTGTAACTTTTTCTGGAGGACCCTGAAGAGATTTCAGTTGAAGCTTGTCTAAACCAGCAAGTCCATGGGAAGGAGCAGAGCGATAGGATGAGAGAGGGATATAAGTCAGGGTTACAGGGCAGGAGATGTGCGTACATGCACAAGTTACAAAACCAAACCACAGTAGCTGTTGGGCTCCACCTAGCCACTGCAGAATTCCATGTGGTGACAGAGGCACAGAAAGATTCCAATAACCCTAAGATACTGTTGATGAGGCAAGATGAAGGTATTTTAGGGAGTGCACTGACTCTGTTTGTCAGAGATAATGATGTGCAACAACGATCTAGTTAAAACTACTTAGCTGAGAATATTGCAATTATAAGTTTCTGAGGGCAGTATGGGGAAAAGCTTGATTTTTAAAATCCAGCATTTCACATCTTTCTCCTCCCTTTGAATTCCAAATCCTGCTTCAGATGGTGTTCTTACGTTCATATAATCATGGAATCACAGAATGTTTGTGTTGTAAGGATATTAAAGCCCACCTAGTTCCCCACCCCCACCTGGCCCTGACCACCTCCAGGGATGGGGCACCCTGGGTTCTCTAGGCAGTAATGCCAATGCCTCACCGCCCTCTAAGTAAAGAATTTCCTTCTAACATCTAATCTAAATCTCCCTCTGTTAGTTTAAAGCGATTCCCCCTTGTCCTACCATTGCCAGACCGTGTAACAAGTCAGACTCTTTCTTGCTTATAAGCTCCCTTCCAGAACCAGAAGGCCAACATGAGGTCTTCCTGGAGCCTTCTCTTCCCCAGGTAAACAAACCCAACTCCCTCACCCTTTCCTCACATCAGAGCTGCTCCAGCCCTCTGCCCATCTCAGTGCCCTCCTCTGGACTCCAAGAGTTCCACATCCTTCCTATGCTGGACGCAGCGCTGCAGATGGGGCCTCACAAGGGCAGAGGAGAGGGACACAGCCTCCTCTCTCTCCCTGCTGTCGTCCCCATTAATGCATCCAGAGTTCTTTCACGTTATGTTAAAATGTGAAAGAACACATGGTATTGCTTAATTTTCTTACGGTTGTTTGGAAGATGATAGAGTACTGGTTTTAGTGGTAGAATTGTGTTAGCCTGTATTCAGCCACATAGTTCTCTCTCATTTCCACAGTCTCCATGATCCCATCTCTAGCTGAAACTTCCTGCAGTCTAAACTGCCACTCACTTCTGTTATATTTTACAGGGAATGGAAATTGCTGCTTCAGGATACAGCAAATATCAGATGCTGTAAGTCTGAACATCTCCTGCCTTCTCTTGGGATTTACCTCTACCAGGGACTTTGGGGATGGTGATTGAGGATCAGTGGATTTCTTCACTCACTCATCCATGAGGTATGTAAGGTCTTTTGTGACAAAACTAACTACAAGCTAACCCAAAAGAGAACAACCAGCATGTAAATTACGGACAATAGTCACAGTTGCAGTCAGTCTGCTATTTGAATCAGTCTTGTATTTTTGTTTACTGTCAAATGAAAGTGTGAATAGTAACAGTTTCACCGTACACAAACCTGTACTTTGTGTTTCTCAGCATCAACTGTACCCAGATCTTCCGTTTCTGTCACTCATAAGGATCCTGTCAGTTGTAGCTGAAGGGCTGCATTACCTACACAGCCTCCAGCCTGCTGTCTGCCACTGCAGCCTGAAACCTTCCAACATCTTTTTGGATGCACAGTGCTGAGCCAAGGTGGGAACACACTTGAGAACTATAAACAGTGCGACTCGTCTGCCATTTTCATAGAGACTAGATTTGCAAGAGTGGAGGCTTATTGTCATTCACTTCCAACTTGTAAATCTTTTTTAATTTTAGATGCTTAGATATAACTCAGTGCATGAGATAGGTGTGTATCTAGACAGCAGCGCAGTAAAGAAAGCAAAGGATTGTATGTGAAATAATGCTTTGGTGCATGTAAACTACGTGTACATCCATCATACATTAATATTTTCCTAGGTAGCATTTAAGTAAAAGCACATTTTATGTGGAAACCTGGCAGAAGAGGGAGTAAAACACTGTGTGGTTCAGATATGAGTTTATCATAGAATTGCTTCTTCCCCTACAGGTTGCTTTGCTTCTAACTCATCTGTAGTCTGCTTTCTCCCTTCTGGTAGATTCTTTGCTTCTGCCTCTAGTCTAGAGACCGAGAGGTTTTTAATCAAATAAATGTTTTAGATCATCTGAGTTGTAGATTATGCACATACATCACGGTATCACCAGAATACCTCCTAGGACATTAGGAAAGAAAAAAATACTAGGAGCTCCAGCAAAATTTGCTGGAAGTAAAGAAACACAGTGGGTCAGAATCAAGGTTTTGATAGGTTAACTGTCTGATATGCTGGTGAGTACCTAATGTAATGTCTTGCTTTTTCAGTTGCTATTTAGATTAGTTGGAAACAAAACAGAAGTGATGGAGAAAGGAGAACAGAATGCTCTGAAGTTCACAAAAGCAACTGTAGTTAACAAAAAACTTGTAATCCTTATGAATCCTATTGAAATAACATCTAACTTGATTTATCTACCTTGATTTATTTTATAAGAGCTGTTCAGTTCAAAACAAAGCTTAATAATGCAAGAGAAAGAAGCTCTTCAGATTAAGAATTATTTGAATAGACTTAGGAAAACTCCTTTATTAAATCAAGAAATGTGCTCTTTGAAATGATGGGAACATAAATATTGATTCTGAACTAATCAATATGATTTTTTTTTAATTTCAGTTTTGGTATATTGTGCTGGGAGAGCATAGGCAGACAGAAACCCTTTGAAGGTATTTTTCTATTGCTCACATCTGATTTTTATTGCAGTGGTGTTTCCTACAAATTCTTTTACTGTAGAGAAATGACAACACCAACAGCATTGCCTGTTCAAACAGGCCTCTGCCTTTTGTTACAGTTAGAGCACAGTTTGTATAAGGCATGATGTAACAATTGCCACAGTCTAAGAATGATCCCCCATCCCTAGTGGTGGGCACCAAAGGAAGACTTTGTTGCTATTGGCTCAGTTCTGTATGACAAAGCTGATTGAAGGCCTTCTGCATTTTGCAGGCTGAGAAGTGCAATAAAAACACTGTGTAGAACAGTAGGGTGCTATTCACACAGCTTTCACCACTGTCATCTCGTGGCTGCACCTCTTCTTAGCACTGATACACACTGCGAGGCTTTATCTAGAACTGCATCTATTATTGAGAAATAATAAATACACGTATATCTGCAGTATTAATTTGACTTATTGTTTGTACAGAGCTCTTTGTCCAGAAGTGGCCTGTGGCAAAAGGTGGCTATGGTCATTTCAAACACCAGCGCATCTACTAACAAGAGCATAAATTTATTTTTACTTTTACCTTAAAAACAGTCTTTGCTTTAACACATGTGAAATAACTTATGCAAATATTGTTTTAAGAGCACAGGATCTTTGGTATTTATTGCCTACTGGCATATATTTGGTATTTATTTATTTCCTACATGCTGCAGGACAAACAGCCCCACTGGGAGCTTTGACAGGGATCTGTAACAGCTTACAGCCTGCCAATTCAGAGAAGTTTATATCAAGCAATTTGCCCAGGAGGAACAGACTGCTCCACTTTGTTGCTGTGTGCTGTCATCAAGAACGAGATTACAGGCCACGTGCTGCAGGTAGCATTCAGGATTTACTTTCTTTGTAGGGTTTGTGATGGAGATAGTCTTGCTGGGCAGATTTCTCTGGCACTCTAAATCGATCGCATACCAACTGAAGTGGAAGGCAAACAGCCTTCAGATTATCGTCAGAGTGCTGTAGAGTTTTTTCAGCTTTTTACAAAAGTAGGAAACCAAGACTGTTTAGTATAATGTAGTAAATAAAAACATAAAAATAGCCAGCTAAAGGAGGGTATACTATTATTAGCTCATGTATTATTTTAACAAAGATTGACCTGTCTTAAGCATTTATGTCCATTGCATAAGCAGTTCTATTCGAGGTGTGCTAACAGTTCCACTAACATCAATGGTGTGGTTATCCTAAAAAAAACACACACAAAACCAAACAATGAACCAGACAAAAAACAGCCAAGAAATTGTGATATTTGAAGCCTAGTATATAAATTGATTCTTCCAAAAGTCGTATGTAGTCCTTCTGCAAGTGCATGTCTGTATCGACATCTGTAAGAAACACTGATTTTGAGTGAATGATCTTCAACAACACATTCATAAAGAAAACCAAAGGTTGTATGAGGTAGAAGCTGTATTTAAACTGATCTAATTGAGTTCATTTGGCTGCTCAGCAAAACAGTGAAGTTAATATTCAGTTGCATAATTAATGAAGTTTGTTGCAAATATCGGTGCCTAAATACATACAACGATGCCTAAATACATGCAACATGGTACATCTATAATGCTTTATCCCTCCTACAGAAAGTGCAGACCTTCTAAATGGGGTTTTGATGATTATAAGTAAGAAGGAAATTTCCACCGCAGTGTACAATCTGATGCATGCAAAGGTGTGTGCAAAATTAAGTTTTGTTACTTGATTTTTTGATTGCAATCTTTGCAGTCCAAAACAGAAGATCTTTTGAACTTATTGCTTTAGTGGACATGCTGGAGAGTACCCTTTGGCACCTCAAGTTCATTCAGGAATTGTAGAAAATACATACTGTGAGCTATTCTGGCTGGTCCCCTCTAGAAACCTCATCAGTTGCTACCTGAGGTCACAAGAACAGTAGTGTCTTTTGGTCACAAGCTATAATCAAATACAGCTTGCTATCTCTGTTTCCATGCATGTCTGCATTTATTATATATTATTACATAATGTATAATGTATATAATATTACATGTTACATTATACATGTAAAATATACATAATATTATATATTATATACATTATTGCCACAGGAAACCTGGCACAAATCTGACTGCCATAAATGCAGCTATATCTATCAAACTTTGATAGACATAGTGAGGAAACTACATGGGCATGTTTCAGCCCTTGAACAAGTGTTCTGACTCCATTTGACCTTGCAAAACCCATTCTGTGTGGTTGGTTCTGTTGCTGTGTTTATGTGAGCTCCCAAGTTAAGGCATACCAGGTTATTTTTATATGTTGCAATCGTATTCTGCAATTATAAAATAGACTTGCATGACACTTTAATGGTTGGCACAGTTATGGTCCAAGTCATTTTATTACTCCTGAAGCTTATAGAATATTTGGCAATACATCTCTAAAAAATTTAGCACTTCAGTCCCCTTTGAGTAAGGTTTTATTTTTCTATTTGCTAAATCAAAAACAATCATTATTATTGTTTAAATAACTGGAGAGACAACAGTTCAAAATGACTGAAATAGCTACCAGAGGTATTTAAAATGGATTAATTCATAAGTGCTGAAGGGCAATGAGTTGAACCGATCTGCTGCAGATGTACAAAATGGAAAAAAGTTTTAAGTATCGACGTGTCCTTATAGCAGACATCATTTGGTATGCTAAACACAGGATGCTCCTGCTGTGTGTATACTTGAAGGACATGTTATAGCTACCCCAATATATGTGTGTACAGGGCTGCTCTCCCCTTCTAGTGCATAACGCAAAAACTAGACTTAAAATTGAAATGAGAGGAGCAGTAATGGAGTAAAGTCAGGTTCTACACCCACTTACATGCTAAAATGCAAAGTTGCTACCAAGTTGTTCAATGCAGTTCACTATTATCCTGCATCAGCATGCCCAACAGTATGACATACTTGACATCCTTGTAAATTGTCAGTGTCAGTTTAAGTTCTTGCTCCTTACAACTGTAATTGAGCAAGCATTCTGCATTCTTACTAGTGCTCCTGTACTGTTTTTTTTTTTCCCAGGAGACAGCAATTAATGCATGCAGAGGTTCAGAAGTACACACTTTGCAGACAGGCCTACAGAACTCAGAGGTAAGTACATGGCATTTATTTGAGAATCTTAAAAGAGTCTTCTTGCTTCTCCTGCCAGAGCTGACACTGCATAATATATACACAGTAGGGCAGGATGTCCCCTTTATTTTGTCCCTAACAAGGACATCTACAACTGGTTAAGCAACAAAACCCTGTTTTACCCTCCTACAAGCAGCAGACTCTGTTGCTTTTGCAGAAAGACTCTCCATTTGAAAGCCACTTCGAACCTCTCCTTCATGAGGATGTCCCAGTGAAATGGCAAAAACCTGGTTTTCCTTGTGCTGTTTTCAAAATGGCAGCTGGAAACAAAGACCAAAAAAAGCTTGAATTCTAGCATATACAGCTCCTTTTCTTGAAGAATAAGGATAACTGCTCTGTGATCACTCTGCAGCATACCACTAACAACCATTTTCAAAGTGATAATGGCACTTGCTGCAGGCCTGCCAATACCGAAAGGGCCAAAGCTCATGTACCTGGATAAGAGCGAACTTTAGCTAGACAATTTGTGTTCTGTGAATGGTCATGGCTGCTGGCAGCACAAGCTGCAGAATCAATTTAGGACAGCCATAACATCTTGGACAGTTAGCCTACAGGTCTGTGCTGCCACAGCAGCCTGGGCGACTAGCTAAAGTTGAATTAGTTTGTCTAGAGGCTGAACAACTGCCTGCCCACCCTTCCCAGAACTGTGATACAGCCTTGAATTCCAAGAAATAACTGCTTGCAAACAGTTTTGAAAGAAAGTTTCCAAGATAATTCTCCATTTTAATTTTTTTCAGGTCATCTGTCAACAAAAACTCACCCAAGTAATGAGCAAGAAAGTCCCTCCTGTAGTACCAAGTTCGTCACGTGTTCTACTTGGTAGCAGTACAAATATTGCAGGAAGCGAAAATATTCTTGAGGCTGATCTGACAGGTCCTATCACACAGCACTCAACAAAGAAAGGTCTCTGCCTGCAAACATATTCAGCTCCAACTATACCAAGGAAAATTACTACTATTTGTTCCACATACACATGTGTTTTTCAAGTGCAGTTGTCCCTTTTTAGAGCTTTGCTCTCTACTGGTATCATTCAAAGCATGAGCTCACTGCAGAAGTGCTTTTTCAGTATTCCTCATTCCTTTGGAAACAGAAGTTGAGCCACAGGAAATCAATTCACTTATAATAACAGCTGCACTCCCAAGCATTTTACTTCTTATCAATAGCTGCCAGACTTAGAATAGAATTTTCTGGACCTTAAGAAACAAATCCACATAGAATTCCTGAAAAACACAGAAGCATGTTATAGTATATGCCAAAATCTTCCCAGGAATAGTGTCCTATTATCAACTGCCCAAAGAACAGCTAGTAATAAAAAGGTGCTCTCAAGTTAGTCAGATGATACACTTTATGTTATGTTGCTGTTCAATGTAAGGGTCTCATCTTGTTCATTTTAAACTTTTTTTTTTTTAGATTACCCACACTCTGACAAAAGAAAGCCTTTTTGTACTCTGCCCTTATCTGGTCCAACTGCAGGCAGAGAAAACTGTCAGCATAAGAATCCACCACGGGCAGTCCACAGTCCACAAACCATGCAACCTGAACAACCAGTGACTGGTAAGAGTCCACTTCCAGTTTGAGAGGGCAGTATTCTCCCAGACCAGATCTTATTCAGTGGTTACATTGTTCAGAGATGTACAGAAATAGATAATCTTTTTCTGAATTATCTGGCATGATGTCTACTGTAGTTTAGTGCAAAAACTCTTCAGACAGTGCTGTGTCACTGTAGTATTGCTGTATGGCCCTCATGTTTTCAGAAAACCAGGCACTGCCCATTGAGAACACTGGCTTGTTCTTTCCTTGGATCATATTCAGGTTGAGAATGAGCCTGAAAAGATTGTAGTAAAAACACAGAAATTGTGTCACATTATTAATTGCTTATTAAAGTATGGGCATCTTTTTTCTTTTGTGGTTTTAAGCTGAGTATTTCATACAGCTAACAAGTGCTACTGACCGTAGAAAAGGGTGATGAAGAGAACAGGATAACTACTTATTTCCTTCCTTACGTGGTCTCAGATTTTGCTACTGAGCTGGAAACTGATCATAGGAAAGCTTCTGACTTGTGAAGCCTGTCTCTACCTGCAGGTGAAAAGCTCGGTTTCTTGCTTTGCTTGATTGATTGTTTCAAATTGGCCAATTCCTGCATCTGGTTGCTCATTTATTTCAATTTACTACTCAGTGATGGCATAATTTCAGGATAAAGCAGTAGAGTAGTATGTGCAGGAAAAGTTCATGTCAGAACTCTACTGTCAGCACTCTGAAATCAGAATGAGAGAGGCACATTCTCCACAGTAACGATGGTCTTTGGTTATTAGTTTTCTCTTGATTTACAGTACTTAACTGTACAATTAAAACCTGAATGTCAGCACTGAATACTCTGAGAGGTACGAGCCTCATCAGTTAGTGAAGAGGTAGAACCCAGTGCTCTTGATCACTTTTGCCAAAAATATTAGTTTTGCTATTAGTTTGGCTTTGATATATATTCATGTTCCTGATTTCACAACACATTTCAAACAGACTTACTATTCTGGACTACCTGTTAGCTGTTCTTCCATGTTCTACAAGACAGCATTTTCTCAATGATGTAGAGACAAACTGCTCTGCACAAGGTTTGTTCATGCTAGGAGGAATGAATGCTAGGATGAAATTCTCCCCTTACACAATCCAAGCAGTCTTTAGAAACACTGATTTTCTGGAATAGAATCCTCATGATTTTTGATGGGAATTCATTGTACTACTTGTGAACAAAGGACACAGACTAACTCTTCCTTTCTTCTTTCTCAACTGAGATTAAATTTCTACATGCATCAGTGTTGATGCTGTCACTTGCTAACACCCTCTGGAAGAAAAGAGTACTTAGTACATCTTGTTTGCTTTTCTTTTTCACCAAGGCCCTTGCTGCAAAGGAAATTGCAGTCAAATACTGGCCAGCCACAGAGGAATTATCCTGAGCTGCATGACAGAAGGACGCCTCAACCACATCCTTGACACCCTTCGCTCACAGCAAATGCTGTCCCGAACAGATTATGAAACAATAATCTCTTACCCCACAGTGACCAGCCGTGCTCGGGCACTGCTAGATATTTGCCTCTGCCTTGGAGAGAAGGCAGCAAAGGTTGTAGTGACAGTTCTAACAGTGAACAAACGCAGTCCTCTGGCACGAGGCAGCCGTTGCATAGGCTGTCCTGAGACAAACAGGCTGCTGCTGTGACATAATTTTGAGGTTTGCTACATGGATCAGAGCATTGGTAATTTGGAGTGGCAGTGATTCACGTTCACTCCTCATAAACCATTGAAATCAGTTGTTCTTCTGGCCAATGATTGCAATCCACTTACGGAAAAATAAAAAACCTACCTGGATGAAAAGATCACATCAACCCATTGCCTGCAGAAATTGCCAAGACTGGTATAACAAATTCTGATTAAGTCAAATGTCACCAAATTTCCTTGATTTTGGAAGTCAGAAAAATGGACTGTGAGATTTTGGAGATCACACTACGGAAGAACAACAGTTATTAAGGACAGTGTACTGTATGAGGAGAAAAAAGATATTGCCTTTCACCAAACTCAGTACTGAACAAGCTGTCACAGTGAGAGACTTCAGAGAATTAAGAAACATTTATTAATTCTTAATATGAGTCTTGGAAATTTTACATTATGCACATGAATTATTTTTATCCGCAAATGGTCGTGTTATGAAAATATGGTGCTGATAACAGCATTTTGGAGAGGTGGGCTTACAGTATTGGTAAAAAGAAAAGCTCTGCTACCTTACATTCATGTTGTTCTCTGAGTGTGTCTGCAGTTCAAATGTAAAATTAAAGCATGAAGAGGACGTGCCAAGCTGATCATTTTTGAAATGGTGGTTCTGCAGAAGTGTAAAGGCAAGAGTATCAACATTGTAATGAAAATGAGATTATAAAAGTGCTGTTTTTTGAGTGGATTCCTTCAAGCTGCAAGGCACTTGATTAACATGTGCAAACTTGTTCTATTTCAGGTACTGAACTATGCCATTCCATTTCTCTGCATTGCATTTGTTCTCTGCAGTTTCAAACTGCCCATCCAGTTCAGTAGTTTGACAGGCTGTAAAACTGAATAACAATGTGTTTTCTAGGCACAGGTGATAAAATAGATTTATTTTGTGTACTACAGCACTACTGGAACTGTAAACTTTAGCTATAAAATATTTTTATATACATTCATTAAACTTTAAGATTTTCTTGAAAAAATCTTCTAATTAGAGGAAAGCAGAAAACCATTCATTTGTAGGAATTATTTATAGACTTTTAAGAGGGAAGCTAGCAATATTACTGAAGCCTAATTATCAACTTTCGGTAATTATTCCATTTGGTTCTTCTGCAAGACATGTGTATCACTCTGACAGATGTGCCAGCTGGTGGACTATGTTAATTTGTGCCTTTTTTTTTGTTTGTTTGTTTAATTTATGTAGGAACAGTTTTGTATCTCGCTCTTGAAATAGCTTTTTATTTGAGAATTTCAGTTGAAGCCAAACAATACCAGTTTTTTTTTTACAAGTGTCATGAAATAGGTGGGAGCAGAAGTTACCTGGTTTTGGATGGATTTTATTCTCATATTTGGCTTTCCAATTTAAGTATAGAGGATGTCAGAGTTACTGATCCATTGCCATTGTGTTTACCCAGATTTTTGTCAAGATAATCCTAGTAAATAATTTGTAACCAATTACAGAACTAAGGAAAATCTATTAATTCATGTTCAAATGAGCCCAAATGGAATTCTTTAAGCATGTTGATTTTTTTTGTCATGTATTCAACTAAAATCACTGCATGAGTTTTAGATTTTGCATGGGTACCTTGTCTGAAAGCACAGGCATGAACCAGCCATGCCACTGCCCAAATCTTTAAGCTAATGCAGACTTATGCTATAACAGAGGTGCATGCATACAGTTCCTCACACCTCTCTCTTGTGTGATATAACTGCTTTGGGTAGGTTTGACATTTGCAGCAGTTGAGAATCCTTGTTTTTTAGTTAAGTGTAGTATTTTGGGGGGATGCTTTTAACTCACTGAAATAAAACTGCAGTGATATTGATATAGTAAGCTTTGTTAGAGAACCGGGACACTGTGGCCTGAAATTTGCATCCCTTCCCTTTTTCTTCCCCCCAAAATATACATACTCTTAAAAGGCCTGCAATAAATTGGCAAGATAATAAAGACATCAGTGCATATACATTAATTACTGATGTGAAATATCAGATTTCATAAAAATCGTGGTATCTTTTTATGCTTGTACTCAACCATGTTAATTACAAAAGATTTCTACTGTCCATATCATCGTGACCAAGAATCAGGGCCTGCTGTTCAAGACACATCTCTTGTTGCTTTTCAGAGGTCATGAGCATTTGGGACAGTACATCTGAGTACATGCTTCAGCAGTTTGCCCTCAAAAAGGTGGGATGTCCCTCCCCTTCCTCCTGCGTGCTGGTATCTCTGTGCTGTCAGCAGTCCCCCCATCCACGGGGCCATCGAGCGACCCCATCCGTTCCCTCTGATGAAACCCCCGGAGGGTCACTGAGGTGTGACAGAGCTGCTTCTGCAGCAGCTGGTGCCGGTGGGGAATTTGTCCAGAAGAGGCTTCAGACCTTCCTGGCCACTGCCATTCCTCCCTGCTGGAAGGCGGGAGCCAGCAGAAAGCCTGGGGCACTTCTCAGGGCTTCTGCAATTGCTCAGCGCCCTACCCTGAAGTCTGCGCATAGCTCCGAGGTGTCTGGCTTTTCCTTTCCTTCTGTGTTATGAGGGAAAGAGAAAGAATCACGGCCTTCTCGTCGGTGGCCCTGACCCAAAGCTTTTGGAAGAGCGCCCTCCTTCTCCTCTGCACCTCCGGAGCAGGCAGAGCACGTTTGTCCATCCAAACCTACATCTGTGTTCCTCTGCTCTCTGCTGGTTCCAGGCTGTGGCCGTAGATGTCCTTGGCACTTTCTACATCCTGAGAAAGCGCATCTGCGAGGGGACCAGGCCCATGATTGTCCCCAGGTTCTACCTGTCACAACGAGTGGCACAGGCTCAGGGGCTCATCTACACCAACAGCGACATTCCTGGTAAGGCCTTGGCACAGGCTTTGCTGACCCTTGCAACGGTGCCAGCCTGTGAATTTGCTGTGGAGGAGCGACCGAGAAAGCTGGCGGTTGCTCTCCAGGAGAACATCTCACCTGGTGCACACCCTTTGCATATGAGATGTGCAAAGAGTGTCTGTCTGGGGGTGCTGGCTTCACGGCAGCACTGCGTGCAGTGTATCCCTCCCTCTGACCTGCCTTGTTGTGGGCTCCCCATGGTCCTGTTGAGGACAAGTGCCTGCAGAGGAAATGCTTCGGAGCTGCTTTTTTTTTTTCTTACCCAAACTGCCAGGGAACTGGTGCTCTGTGTTCAGTCGGCACCAGAGCTTGTTCAGAAACACAGCAGCATTCCTGCCAGCTCCAAAGCTCCCTGCAGCTCCAGGCAGGTGCTTTGCACCTGACCCGCAGGCTTCAGAGTGCTGTGGGTTTGGCCCGGAGTGCAGCACTGGCTCCTCAGGGCCTATTTCAGCCTGCCGTGTTGCTGCCTGCCTGACTCTGTTCCTCTTTCCTAGATGATCTCAAAGTCGTCCCCCTGGACTATTCCCAGCTGTCCCTGAAGACATCCTTGCCAGAGAAGCTGGTGAAGGAGTGCGTGAATGACATCGTGGTCCTCTTCAGCTGGGGCGCAGGGCTGGGAGAGGACTACGACCTTGTTTTCAAGGGCATTGGGGTTCTCATGAGCCGGAATCGGATCCTCACAATGAGGTACCGTGAGGAGTTTCTCCTTGCCGTTGATCAGACAGGAGCTGCGCTGAAGTGTCTGCTCGCTGTAAGTCTAACGTCTTGCGGCTCTCTTTCCAAGGTCCTCTCTTTTCTCAGGCCAGCCGTGCCGTGAACTGGGCAGGCTTGCTGCCCTGTGGGACAGGGGATCCTTTCCCAGCCTCACCCTCACATCTCTGTCCTCTTTGCAGAACCCGCAGACAGAGGTCTGTGTGCTATCAGGCAGGGAACCGGCTGCTTTCCATGTGTGTCCCGGGGGCATCCGTGTGCTTCCAGGGTGAGTACATGGGCTTGCGTAGTCCTTGGCTTCTCAGCTGCTGTTTGGCAGGGCCACGCTGGCACACTGCCTGCTCCCAAGGCCAGGTCCCCTAGAGGAAGGGCTCCGTGTCACCTCCATGAGAGCGCTCTTCTCCTATGCTCTGGACACCCTCACCTGGAGCCATGTGCAGGAGGGGCTGCGCTCTGTTGTCGCCATGGGTTGGACCTGGAAAGGAATTCTGGCACCTTGTCCTACAGAGCCTCGCTTCCTCGTTCCTTTTGTTGGCTGAGGGACAGCAAATAGCATTTCAAAAGGCAGCTTCCCGAGCATCCACTGCGTTAGAGGAACCGTCCTCTAAGTCTTTCCTTGTGGAGAACTGGGGAGATGAGGGACTTGGTGGCTCTAAGGGCAGCCTGCGGGGCTCTGTCTCTGGATGCTAGGGGAAGTTTTTTCCAGCATGCGTCTTCTTCCTTCTTCTAGGTTTAAAATTAAGCTGCCCTCTGAAATAAAAGCCGGAGAGCTCTCCCCTGACAAGGAAGCCGATGAGAAGGAAGGTAAAAACTGCCCAAGTCCTAAGTTGGGGCTAGGCAAGTCTGCACCTCCCACGTCTGTATGCACACAGAGATGCTCTATGTGTCTTCTTCCACAGGTGCACGGAGCTACCAGGATAAGTACCTGCACCAGCAAAAGACACAGCCACCACACCATCAGAAAGGGGACAGGGCTATAGAAGGGAATCAAAAGCACAGAAGGACTCCTATGGACAAGTGAGGCTCGTGGGCAGGTGGATGCGGGCAAGGCATGACCTTGTCCTCGTGGCAGTTAGAATCTGTGCTGGTGCGCTGTCTGCATGGGCTCTGAGGGGCCTTCAGATGGCATTTCCCAGCTAGAGTGCAGGTGTACATCAGGTCTGGGTGAGACACTGCCGTCAGCCTCACTTCCTTTCACTTTCTGTCCAGTGGTATCTTCAGCCAGCTGTTAGCTTCTATTTGCACCTGAGGAGCTCCTTGGCACTGGTGGTCCGGAGCCTGTTTTGCTCCATCTTCCTCCACTCCTCGTGGCACGTTGTGTATGTCTCCAGGTTGGCCAGGACCTGTTTCACCCGCAGTGACCGGACACTGCAACAGCGCGGACAAACTCTCACGTGCACCCTCTCCAAGATGCTGCCTGCCTCAGAGCCTGCCCTCCCCCAGCCCCTGCACCCGTGCTGCCTTTGGGCCCCAGCAACTCGTCATGGTGGAACGAGCTTCAGGCCCACACCAAAGGCATTGGCGTCAGGGGCTCTCCCAGGGCGCGCTTGTGTCGGGGAGATCAGAGGAGGAAGCGTCTGCTCCCCCAGCCCCACAGGTAGTCAGTCTCTACCGCTCGCCTCTGCCAAGCCTTCCTGAGAGGTGCTGCACACTTCCTTGGGCTCTGTAGTCTCCAGTGGAGGAAGAAGTGCCCACTCCTCCTCTGCTCAAGGACGGTGGCAAGAAGCCTCCTTCTCATCCACCTTCTTTTCTCTCCTCCCGTCTCAGCTTGGGCCCTCTCCTGCCCAGTGTTTCTCACTGGTGGGAAGCGTAGCGATGTCTCGGGCCCCAGGTTTGCTCGGGGCACTTGCAGCCCACTGCTTTTCCTGCATGGGAAGCAGAGCCAGATGAGAGCCAGCAGCGTCGCCTTGACCAGCAGCGCCCTCCCGTCGATGGGGCTCAGGTTGGAAGGGCCCAGGTCAAGCTCCATGGTGAGCAGCGCAGGCCAAGACTGTGTGCAGCATGCAGGGAGGCCCATCAGAGCCCCCCACAAAGCACAGCGCACCCCCTGCCCTTTGGCATCTGTGGACAGCTTCCTCTCCCCAGGCCGTGGGCAGGAGCATGAAAGCCAAGTGCCGTGGGAGCAGGGAGAGTCCCTCACCAGAAGGAAAGGAGAGGGTGAAGTTGTTTGGGAGGCTCGCCTAGGACTCCCTCTCTGTAGCACTGTATTTCTCAACCTGTCACGCCATCGTTTATGTCCACGTGGAGCACGTACCAGTGCTGCTCCCAGCTGGCCCTGCCAAGCAGGGAGCCTGACTTTGTCTTGCTCCCTCGCTTTCGCTTCCATGCTTCGCTCTGAACGTCTCCTCCCGGCAGGCAGCTGCACACTGCCAACAGCACAGGGAGCCGGTTGGAGAACAGCAGGAGCCTGTTCTCCAGCTGGTGCTCCCCAGGAACGGCCCCGTGCAGGCAGCACAAGGCAGTTCTGTGTCACAGTTCTCTCTCAGCTAGTTGTGAGCCTCAAGTCACAAGGAAGAAGAGAGAACCAAGAGCCGGGCTCCTGTGCTGGGCCACAGCACACCCGGATGGAGCTCAGTGTGCCCAGGCCCAGGCAAGGGCTCCTCACAGACAAATGGGAGCGCAGGGCATCACGCTGTCAGTTCCCAAAGATGCTCGCCTTTCAGCCCTCGCTGAAGTCCTCTTTTCTGCCGCCAGACTACGGCCTCTGGTCTGGATGGGAGGCAAACAAATGTAGGAGAGCAGGCGCTCACGAGCCTCTGGAAGCACAAAACAAGCAAGCTGTTTTCACACAGCTGTGCATCCCTGAGAAACTTCCCACAAGACAGCCGTGCCAGCTGCGCATGGACTTGCTGCTGCTGCTGTCTGGCATGCCTCCCCATCCTTGTGGCCAGGCTTCCTAGGAGCACCGCAGCCCTCTCCACTGCCACCAGTTCCCAGTCCTCCCTTTCACGTGGCCTGCCGATCCCTCAGCAGTTCCTCAACCCATTGCTTCCTCAAGTGCCTCTTTGAGAAGCGGTGACCTGGGACACGTCAGTCCCTTTGCAGGATCTCTGGCACCAGGAATGTGGATTCAGAGCTGCAGTAACACGCTCCCACTTCTCTACACCACGTCTACATGGTAGTACGGCACCGTGCTGCAAAGCTGTTTCAGCCAAGCGATATTCTGGCTTCTCGTGGTTGGGCAGGAAACTACAAATAAGAAAGCCGCAGCACTTACAAGAAGGGGCAGAGAGCACAGGGCTGCCCAGGGCCTTGTGGAGCTCGCCTCTGAGCTCTGGCTTTCTGGGATCAGCTGGGCAGGCCCAGCCACGAGCACCATGGAAAAGCTGCCCCGGGCTCCCACTTCTTCCCAGAGCATCTGAAGGCGGGCTGCTGGGCTGGGCCTTCGGTATGACCAAAGGGGCTGCACAGGGGGTCTCCTGCACCTCTGAACATGAAGGCCAGCCCAGGGTCCGGCCAGACAGACTGCTTTGACCTGGCAGCCAGAGAGTGAGCAGGAGCCCTGAAACTGTGCCAAACTCACATGGAGGAAAGCATCCAAATCGGCTTACTGCTGTTGGAAATAATCCAAGTAATTTTTGTCAGGACGGTATCTCTGATAAAAGCAGAATTTATTCGCGATTGCAATGGCGGGCGTCCCGCAAGTAGGAGCGCACCTATGGACACAACATGACAGCCTTTATACCCTGTTTTCTCCCCCTTGCCTCCCCCCTCCCCTGTTTCCCCAATGGCTGGGTACTCCAGGTTCACAATCTTATCAGAAGGTTTGCATTTGCTATTTACTTGTTAATTTATTTGTTATCTGGTGCCAGTCAGTAGTCATCCTGTTGTTTCCAAGATGTCTTCTCGGTGCTCTCCTTGTCCTATTGATATGGTGATTTTCTTTAAAGTCCTCATCGTTAAACAAAGAGCACTGGGGGATGATGTCAGGCCTTCTCAATGTCAGGCGCTTCCTCGGGCAGGCCATGCCTTGTTCTCTGGTTTGCTCTCGTGCAGGATATTCTTGCAGTGTGTATGACAAAATATATATATATACATATATACAGAGTGTGCGTTCCTGGGAAGGTTCGTCTATACGATAAGTGATGTAAACTTATCAGAGATCTTCCCCAAGTTAAGTAGAAGGACTCCCAAAAAGAACTATGATAGCGGAAATCATAAAATAAAAATAATATTATACAATTCTAATGCAGAAACAACACTTGATTCCCACACTGCTGAGCTCCTGCACTCCTCCTCTGCTCCTCAGCAAACAGCCCCAGCACTATCGCCCCGTCTGCCTTTGCCTTCACCTCCTCACTGCAGAGCAGCTGCAGAGAGAAGAGCGCTGGCGAGAGCAGCAGCCCGTGCCTGTGCTCAGTACCACCTCTCGGGGAAGCGTGTGCTGGGAGCTGTGGGACGGGGCAGGGATCAGGGTCCCCATTGTGACCCAAGCCCGTGCCTCAGAGGGGCTGCAGGCCCCCCCCCCCCCCCCATCATGCCCTTTCCCCCTGCACCATGCTTCTTGCAGCCCGGGCAAGGGGCTCTGCTGGGCATGGTGTGAGCTCCACCCATCCGCCATCTTCCCTCTCCACAGGCAGAACTCTGCAGGCACCGGAAGAATGATTACCAGGCTTGCAGGGTGGAATGAAAGGGGCTGAAAATCCAAAAGGTCCCTCAGGCAATGTGTTTTCTGCAGTCCTCACACCCATGTGGCACAGCACAGAACATCCAGATGTTCTAGAGCAAAGTTCTAGAGCAAGCTCCCATGTTGAAGGAATTACTTGATGGAATGCCCTAGGAAGCTGTCATAATAGGAGCGTAGGGATGGAACAGAGCAGGCAGCTCGTTAAGGATGCCTGAGAGCAAAAGAGTCCCCGCATGTAAGAAAGCAAGCAGAGGAAACAGGAAACTGGGACGGCTGGGCAGGACCTGCTGATCAAACTGAGGGATAAGAAGGAGAGGTACAGGCTATGGAAGGAGGGATGAATGGCCTGGGAAGAATATAGGGGTGCAGCCCAGACATTCGGAGATGGCATCAGGAAAGCCAAGGCAGAGATTAAACTGAACTTGGCCAGGGACGCGGAAAATCACAAGAAGGGTTCTTGAGATACACTGGGCAGAAGAGACAGGCAAAGGAGACAGGCAGATAGAGATGGGACCAGGGGGAGTAGCTGTAAACTGAAAGAGGGGAGAGTCTGCTTAGACTTCAGGCAGAAATTGTTGCTCACAAGGCAGGGTGGGTGCTCCATCTTGGTGCTGCTCGTGGCCGCACACGGAGCCCTGGGCAGACTGAGCTGGTGGCGGGCAACCAGCCCACAGCAAGGGCTTGGAACGGGAGGAGGTCTCTTCTAACCCGAGGCAATCGGCGATTCCATGTTGCTCTGCTGTCTGGACATGGAAACACTGTGGCCATGGCACAGGGGGCCAAGGCCCTTGGATGCGGAGCACCTGTCACGTCACGTCTGAGGTGTGCAGGGGAAGGGGCACAGGAGGAATGACGAAGGGGAGTCCGCACTTGTGGTGCTCCTCTCATTAAAGCTGTTCTTACCTCTCCAAAGCAAGGAAACGTATAGGCAGTGGAAGGAAGAATGCTGAGCTAGGGTGTCCTCAAGTAATGGTTTTTGTAAGGACTGTGTTTGTAATGTGGGGTGTTTGTAATGACTGTGTTGCTGTTTTTTAGTGTTAAATATCCTTTTTAAATGTAGGTTATAACAAAATGACCTTTGGCAGTTTATGGTGAGGGCTGGTTATCTTTAAATCCGCAGCACTGGCAATTGAACTGGCGGAACATCTGCCAGCCTACTTGAACACCTGGGTATGGCAGCTGATGAAGTACGTGATAACATTTTCTCAAAGTGCCTACACTGATCTCCTTTTACAAAACTATACTGCATTAAGACATTTTGGCATCAATGCCACAGCCCTAAACTTATGTGACGGGGGAACTGTATCTGAATATTTAGCCTCAGAGACTGAGGCTTTTCGAGTGGCAGATGTCTCATAGGCGTGCTTTAGTTTTGTTATTTGTGCTGAATCAAAGGTGAATATGGAGAATACAAAACTGTCATGTAACGATACGATTTATACAACCCATGCTAAGGCACATTTAATTCTACCATTGAGGTTCTTTTTGTTTTGCGGAACCACTGCCTCCACTTAGGTGCCTGCAAATTCCACAGGTGTGGAATTCCCCTGTGCAATTAGTAGAATTACCATTCGGTTCTGATTTGAATGCCCTCCCTTA